ATTTAAATTATTTAAATTATTTAATAGGGTCAATTAAATAAATTAAATAATTTAAATAATCTTGCTTATTAAAATTTATTTAAATTATTTACATTATTTAAATTATTTAATGGGAGGCAATTAAATAATTTAAATAATTTAAATAATTTTTGCTTATTTAAATTATTTTAATTATTTAAATTATTTAATAGGGGTCAATTAAATAATTTAAATAATTTAAATAAATTAAATAATTTAAATAAATTTAATTCAGGAAACTTTCCAGACCAGCCAGAAATATTTAAATTATTTAATTTCTTAATAGGGGTGAATTAAATAAATTAACTAATTTATTAATCTTGCTTATTTAAATTATTAAATTTTAAATTATTGCGGTGTCAATTTAAATAAATTTAAATATTTAAATTATTTATTTAAATTATTTTAATTATTTACATTATTTACTGGGAGGCAATTAAATAAATTAAATAATTTAAAGTAAAATTTTTGCGTATTTAAATTTATTTAATTATAATTTAAATTAAATAATTTAAATAATTTTGCTTATTTAAATTATTTTAATTATTTAAATTATTTAATGGGAGGCAATTAAATAAATTAAATAATTTAAATAATTTTGCTTATTTAAATTATTTAATTTTTTTAAATTATTTAATGGGAGTCAATTAAATAATTTAAATAATTTAAATAATTTAAATAATTTAATTTAATTTCACTTATTAAAACAAAGGAAGGAGCTAAATAGACCCGAAAGGTTGCTCTCTCATATATATATATGTAAATTATGCACAGACAAGAAAGTAGGGCTGGGGTTTAGGCTTAGGATGCGGGTTTAGGGATGTTCCGGCTTCAAGACTCTGACGGGTAAGAAGTTGGGCAATCCCACCCTACGCGCCAGTGAGTGCAAAGCATTTCCGCGAGGTCGAAAGCCACCACCGGCAGGTCTGCGCCACACGCCAGGCACTAGCATCATCAAGAGAATGTGCACAGTCTAACGAAATTCACATAGACCCACACCCTAAACCCTAAACCTGAACCCTGAACCCGAAACCCAAACCCTTCTTTTCGTCGATCACTGCCACACCTCGCCCTCGTCAGGCTGTGAGCGAAAGATACTCAGCCCTGGATGCAGAAGTAGCATCTGGGCAGCTACAGAATTCAGTGGGGGAGGACATCGTCGCATGGCAGCTCGTCCGATCAAGCTGTGCATGCAAGTCCACAGGTACTTGTAGACGGCAAGGAAACGGGAAGATTTGGCGATGCGATCGCGGCAGTTGCGAAGTAATGACCGGAAGTTGGTCAGTAGCGATGCAGAAGTTGTGAGTTTTCCTTGGCAGAAGGAAGCGCGCGAGTGAACAAGTATGGGACAAGTCAGGAAGAACTAATCAGCGCTTCTCGAGGTCGTGCCAGCTGGGAGCGTGCGCATTTCAGAGGCACCATCATCGTGGCTGGAAAGGGTTTGCTGAAAATGAGTTCATCATTAAGGTGCATGTGTCATGAAGCTGCCGCTTTGCAGATCAGCAGGATGCCGGCAGTGACTGGGTCTCGCATCTCCGGAATGGAGGACATCCAAATTTTAATGACAATGCAAACCAGCATGTGACATAAGGGTGTGCGTTCAAGTTTCAGGGTATAATTCGCACCCCTTTGGGGTGCCCGAAGTGTAAAGTCGCCGTATTATCGTGGTGTACCCTCAGCGCATCCCAATATGAGGATTCTGAGCAGACGTCGAGATGCTAGTTCAGGGTTTAGGGTTTAGGGCTTGTGCTTCACGCTCCGCCCTCCTGCTTTCAGGCTCGTACACGCTCTGTTGCGCACGGAGAACAACCACAGTAGATTGGCATTGAGGCTGCTATCCAAGATATCCAGGAGTGTCATATCATGATAATTCTATATTCATATATGTTATACTATCATCTTGTTATATGAGTCCGTGGTATCTAGGATAGTTTCTCCGGGCTGCATCGCGCAAGTGCTTCGACATCTCAGCAATTCTTGGCCTGTGGTATCGGAACCCAAGTTCCAGCTGCTCAGCCGAGTCTTTTCGCACTCCTGGGTAATCAAGTTCTCTCAACCCTAAACCCTAAACCCTAAACCCTAAACCCTAAACCCTAAACCCTAAACCCTAAACCCTAAACCCTAAACCCTAAACCCTAAACCCTAAACCCTAAACCCTAAACCCTAAACCCGACATTCGGGTGCAGTAGGACAGCCCTGAGGTGAGAGATGATGACGATGCCTGCTGGGAGGAGGCCTTTCAAGTTGTTTAGGGTTCAGGGTTCAGGGGTTTAGGGTTTAGGGTTTAAACCCTAAACCCTAAACCCTAAACCCTAAACCCTAAACCCTAAACCCTAAACCCTAAACCCTAAACCCTAAGCCCTAAACCCTAAACCCGAAACCCCAAACCCTAAACCCTAAACCCTAAACCCTAAACCCTAAACTAAACCCTAAACCCTAAACCCCGTGGGTTCTGACTATAGGGGGTCACAGGTAGATGGCATCAGGAAATTGACCTCGAAATGCCTGGCTCGGTCTTTTCAGATTTTTTGAGTTTTTCTGATTATGTTCATGGTGCGGGTATTCTGCTTACGATGGGGGTGCTATGCTCATGATGCTTGCTATGCTTCTTCTGCTTATGGTGGCTCGCCTGGCTCTTCTGCCTAGGTAGGGCTCTTAGGGTCAGGCTTTTGCTCTGCTTGGGGCCCTTTGTGTGGCCATGTCGCGAGGACGGAGCGCCGCTTGGAGCATGACATGGACCTCGGAGACCTGGGCCTCCCCACCGAGGATCCCGACTGCGTCCTGGAAGCCTTCGAAGGCCCGGGGGGGGGGTATGAGGGGTTGTAAGGGGCTCATACAAGGGGGTTGTAAGGGGTTAGAATAAGAGGTTATAAGGGGGTATAAGGGGTTATAAGAGGTTATAAGGAGTTACAAGAGGTTATAAGGGTTCTAAGGGGGTATAAAGGGGTTATACAGGGGCTATAAAGGGCTCTTATAAGGGCGGGGGTACAAGGTGGGTTAGAAGGGGCGCTATAAGGGGGGTATGTAAGAAGGGGTACAAGGAGGGGCCGTGGCTGTGAGGGGTTGGGCTGTGGCCCTTCTGTGTGCGCCCGCAAAGTCTCTAAAGGCCAGACCACAGAAGCTTGATGTGTTTGAAGGTTACCCTAAACCCTACACCCTAAACCGTAAACCCTAAACCCTAAACCCTAAACCCTAAACCCTAAACCCTAAACCCTAAACCCTAAACCCTGAACCCGATACCCCCCCGCCCTCCCCCCCCGAAGAAGAACCCTAAGCTGTCAGAACAGGTGGCAACAACCGCACAGCCGCCATCTTGCGACATCGCTACCAGCTCAAAGGCGCGCTTTTTGTAGAGCTTGAGCATGTGGATTTTTTTTTTTTTTTTTTTGGGGGGGGGGGGGGGGGCGGGGGTGCCCTGAACTTGCACACCTCAAGTACTCAATCATAAAGAAGAGTCGCATTCACAAGGGCCAGCCAAAACAGGCACCCGAGTTAGTTCTTCAGTTCCCACATACCATGGCATGTTATATGGTTCGCGCCCAAATTTTTTGCGAACTAGGGTCCCTTGTGGGGATCCTACAGTCGAATGTGTAACCTTTCCATACGTAGGGTTCCCCAAAAGGCGACCATCAATTTTGAGAACCTCCAGGCCGTTAACAGCGTTCTTTCCCTGATGGCTGCAGGCAAGTCTACCTGCGTGACCTCACCCGCGCCCGTGAAGCCTGCTGAAGTGGACGAGCAAAAGGCAAGGCCTTTGCAACTCCCGTCCACTTGCAATGGGAACCGCACAGAGAGGCCCAGCTGGGCTGACATGTCTCCCGGCGTCCCGTTGGAATATACTTTGTAGGCGATTTTGTTGCCGTCGTATGGCCATGAGAAAAAAGGGTTGTCAAGGGGATGCTGTTGGCAACTTTGTAGCTGCCCGTGTTTCAAACTTTTGCGGATCCCTAAACCCTAAGCCCTAAACCCTGAACCCTAAACCCTAAACCCTAAACCTAAGCCCTAAACCCTGAACCCTGAACCCTGAACCCTGAGCTCTGCGCCAAGGTCCACGGACAGCGAGGATGAGGACACGGGAGAAGCAGAGCTCGGGGGGGCGGGGGGGTGAGGTTCTCAAGGCACAACGCTGCATAATCCCTGCGCAATCCCTCTACCCTAAACCCTAAGTCCTCAACCCAAAACCCTAAACCCTAAATCCCCAATTGCCCTAAACCCTACGTCCTCAACCCTAAACCCTAAACCCTAAGACGTAAACCCTAAACCCTAAACCCTAAACCCTAAACCCTAAACCCTAAACCCTAAACCCTAAACCCTAAACCCTAAACCCTAAACCCTAAACCCTAAACCCTAAACCCTAAACCCTAAACCCTAAACCCTAAACCCTAAACCCTAAACCCTAAACCCTAACCCTAACCCTAAACCCTAAACCCTAAACCCTAAACCCTAAACCCTAAACCCTAAACCCTCAACCCGCAACCCTCCCCTTCTGAAGCCGTAAAGCCACACGGCCCAAACTCAACCGACTCCGGGCACAGAGCACCCCAAAGTCCTGGGCATCTTGGGAATCTCGTTCACCGCCCTCGCCGTGGGGGTTGTTTGCCTAAAGCTCTGTTTTCCTCACACGCGTCTCCTGTAATCCTCTTCCAGGTCACCTGGCGAGGTTCCATACTTTTCCGCAGGTGCCCTACGAAAACAGAACGCACCTTCCCAACCCCCCCCCGAAAATCCCCTTCAGCCAGTAAATCCTCAATTCTGAAGCCCCTCAACCCTAAAACCCCCTAAACCCCTAAGCCCTAAACTTTTAAATCCCTAACCCTAAACCCTAAACCCTTAAACTTAAACCCTAAACCCCTAAACTTTTAAATCCCTAAACCCTAAACATTGATACGTCACCTTGGCAGTCCTGATGCTCGGCCTTGCGAGGACCTGAGCAGCTCACAGAGCCTTTGTTGCTGGGATTGCGAATGGGTTTAGGGTTTAGGGTTTAGGGTTTAGGGTTTAGGGTTTAGGGTTTAGGGATAAGAGAGAGAAACAGAGCTCAACAAAAACAATGTTGTATTCGCGAGATTGCAGTGATCACAAAAGGAGCCTTAACAAGGTCTCGTGTGGGGGGCCCTTAAATGCTGTACGCAAATCAATTGAATTCATGCGCTTCCTGATGATTCAATGTGACTTTGCTCGCTTTAACCTCGGGATCGAGCTCGGGATCTAGGACATATCATAAGTTGCAGTCACGAGACCTACAGGCACAAGAAACTTTCCCGCGGACTCGAACCGGTGGTTAGGGTTTAAGGGTTTGGGGGCGACCTCCAGCACCCAGGACTTAATTGTCATGCGTTTGCAGGCTATGACTAAGAAAGCCCCTTTAGAGGGTTCTTAGGTGCACTGCCCTAGGCCGCTTGAACCCTTTGCCAAGGTGCCGGTGTTCCGGGAGAAAGTTGGTCCTCGCACTATTCGGCCCCCTCAGGTCCGAGCGCCCAGGAAAGCTTGACAATGAGAGAGGCTCTTGGTGAGATCTTAACCCTGAACCCTGAACCCTGAACCCTGAACCCTGAACCCTAAACCCTAAACCCTAAATCCTAAACCCTAAACATCGGGCCAGAGCTGCTCGTCGCACCTGACGAGGCATTCGAGCCGCTGCTGCATCCTAACCTTCGCAGCATCCACGCCCAATTACAGCAAACCCTAAACCCTAAACCCTAAACCCTAAACCCTAAACCCTAAACCCTAAACCCTAAACCCTAAACCCTAAACCCTAAACCCTAAACCCTAGAACCTAAACCCTAAACCCTAAACCCTAAACCCTAAACCCTAAACCCTAAACCCTAAACCCTAAACCCTAAACCCTAAACCCTAAACCCTAAACCCTAACCCTAAACCCTAAACCCTAACCCAAAACCTCAGGTTTTCGGCTGTTGCAGCCCCTTACAGGTCATTGCAGGTCTCGGGGGAGCTGGACGCCTCGTAGATCCTCATGGTCCCTCAGTATGCCCCCTACCTTCCTTAGACTTCCTTAAAGGGGTTCTGCAGTATGGGGCCTCGGTTTGGATAGGGTACATACAGGTACTGTAAGGGCTCCCACGTAACCACCCGAGCCTCTGCAATGTGCTCGCAAACCCAATCAGATCATCCGACTGTCGGCGCTCCAAGCATGTTTCATTGAACACTGAACGCTGAACACGCTGAAGCCTGTCTCAACCCAGAACCCAAGCCCTAAGCCCTAAGCCCTAAGCCCTAAGCCCTAAGCCCTAAGCCCTACGCCCTACGCCCTAAGCCCTAAGCCCTAAGCCCTAAGCCCGAAGCCTTAAGCCCTAAGCCCTAAGCCCGAAGCCCGAAGGCCTAAGGCCTAAGCCCTAAGCCCTAAGCCCCAAGGCCTAAGCCCTCAGCCCGAAGCCCCAAACCTTAAACCCTAAACCCTAAACTCTAAATCCCTAAACCTTAAACCCTAAACCCTAAACTCAAAATCCCCAAACCCTAAACCCTAAACCCCAAACCCCAAACCCCAAACCCTAAACCCTAAACCCTAAACCCTAAACCCTAAACCCCAGAAGGCCTGACTGGGTCTCGAAGCCTGGCTTGGGACCCAATCGACCTGGAATCTTTGGAGACGGAGGCTTGTGGGGCCTGGTGTGGTCTGCTGGAGAGTCGCAAAGTCTACTTTCGCCTCAGTGTCGAAACCCTGAACCCCAAACCCTAAACCCTAACCCTAAACCCTAAACCCTAAACCCTAAACCTTAAACCTTAAACCCTAAACCCTAAACCCCAAAACCCCAAAACCCTGAAAACGGTGTCCGAAGAGCTGTGGGGAGGGGCCCTAACCAGGAGGCTGGCTCGGACTCGGACGGTTCCAGCGGCCCCTCGGCGTCAGAAGGACCTGAAGAAGGGTTTAGTGTTCAGGCCCATTTGTAGGGTTTAGGGTTTAGGGTCTAGGGTTTAGGGCTTATTTAGGGTTTAGGATTCGGGGCTGTTCAGGCCTACTTAGGGGATTTAGGGTTTAGGGTTTGGGGGCTTGTGTAGGGTTTAGGGTTTAGGGATGTTTAGGGCTTGTTCAGGGTTTAGGGTTCAGAGTTTGGGGATGGTTTCGGGTTGTTTTTCAGGGTTCGGGGTTTTACGGTTTTGGGGTTTTAGGGGTTTTCGGGTTTCATGGGGTTCAAGTTTTTCGGGTTTTAGGGCTTGGGGGCCCGAAGCCGAAGCCCTAAATCCTGGCACTAGTAGGCATTGCCGGTGCGCCAGGTGCCGCGACCGCACAATCGATGGAGAGCTTCTCTTGGGCCAAGGCAGGCGCATGCTGCATGTGAAGCCCTGCCACTCTTCGAGCGGCGGCAGCAGGTGTGGGACAAGATCAACCTGGGCAAGTCGGAGTGCTCCAGCCCGGTGTCGCCTCACGCCGCACAGGCGGGGCTTGGGTCCGGCAGCTGCTGCTATCAGTGCCCGTTTTGTGCGCTCCCATGCAGGACGAGCCTGCGCAGCAGGAGGTGGGGTACCCGCCGCAGATGATGATCATGCAATCGGTTGACGCAACCAGCACAGGACCGGGAATTTTATTGGGACCGAACGAGAGTGAACGGGAGTTGTGCTCTGCAAGGAGTGCCAATGCCTGGTTTTGTTCCACAAGTTGCGAAGTCCGCCCTCATTGGGCCGATTGTGAAGGCAACTGGCGGCCAGCTGGCGTGACAAAGGTTCAGGGTATAGGGTTTAGGGTATTCGGGTATTCGGGTATTAGGGGTTTAGGGCAAGGGGAGCCACATCAACACCATCAGTTATGGCAGTCGTCGTTGCCGCACTATCCGAACAGGCCAAAGGCTGCAAGGATTGCCGTTACGCAGTCGGTCGTTGCAGCATGTCGCTGCCATCAATGAAGCCACGCTTGCGAATGCTTTGGCTGAGGTGGGCAAGTACAACTGGTGGGGGCAGTGCAACCCCTCCAGTCGATGCAGCCGATGCAGCCGATGCAGCCCATGCAGCCCATGCAGCCCATGCAGCCGATGGTCATGATGATCCCAGCGTCCGTGCAGTTTCCCCAGGCTCTGAACGCAAGCCTCTGGTGTCAACCGCCTAAGAGCCCTCAACCCCCCTAAACACCACCCCGAACCCTATACCCCCTAAACCCCCCCCGAAGGGCCTTGTGTGTACGAAAGGGGTCGGAATAATCGGGTATTTCCTTTGGTCCCTATATACACATACTGCATCCCTCTATCAACATGCTGTAAAAAGAAGGCCCACCCTCTAGTATGGCATGCCCTGGGGGCAGGGATACTACAACGCGCCCGAGATTTGCCACGCCTTTCATCCCAAAGCGGCCCAGCTTGGACACCTCTCCAGCGAGTCTTGGCCTGACACCGCCGTGGCGGTCGGGTATGAGGTAAAGAAGGGGCCCTGACAGGGCTTGTTAAGCTTTATGCCCCAAACCCTAAACCCTAAACCCTAAACCCTAAACCCTAAACCCTAAACCCTAAACCCTAAACCCTAAACCCTAAACCCTAAACCCTAAACCCTAAGCCCTAAGCCCTAAGCCCAAAACCCTAAGCTGAGGAAGGCCGGACCTTCACAAAGACGAAGAGCAAGGGCCGCCTTTCCATCGTGTCCGAGAGCAGCCGCCGGCCTCACAACTTGCTCTCATCGCGCTTCATTACGGTTCAGGGTTTAGGGTTTAGGGTTTAGGGTTTAGGGTTTAGGGTTTAGGGTTTAGGGTTTAGGGTTTAGGGTTTAGGGTTTAGGGTTTAGGGTTTCGGGTCCAGGGTGTAGGGTCTTATCCTGTAGGGAACCCACCACATTGTTGGTTCTTCTCTCCCGATCTCTTGTCGAGCTAAGGGATGCACCAGTCTGGTGTCGAGCGCTACTGCCTACGCTTCACGGGTGGAGAGCTCAGCAACGCCGACGGCGTGGGCATCGTGTTCTCGTCGCAACTTCCGTGCCCGCAGAACATTCAGACGCTTGGTGCGGCCTAATGGTACATAACAAGCCTCGGTGGTACTCGACCTCCCAAGTCTTATTTAACCTTTAGCCGAAGTAGTTGTTCTCCCCATCTTCTGCCTCTTCTCGGAGCCTGCGCATGCCTGCGCCGAGGAGGATCGTCTCCGTCTTTGCCAACAGGACGGGCCGGATCTGCATGCGCCCCTTGGCCCGCATCAGAGAGCAGCACACGCTGTCTCCATGGAGTCCCCTCGCGTGAGCCAAGTCGAGAAGTCGAGGTGCGGACGCCGATGTGGAGAGGTCCCACGTGAGCATCAAGGCCCTGGAGTTGGGAGACTGGCTGGAGGTGACCTGCGACTTCGACCGTCGCAAGGCAAGCCCGCGTCCAGCAGCAAATCGAGCAGCAAAAAAACCAACGTCGTTGTGGCGGGTTAGGTTAGGGTTTAGGGGTTCAGGTTTTGGGTTGAGGGCTGCTAGCCTTCTAGGCGGTGCATAGGATTTAGGATTTACCCCCCCCCCACCCCCCTCTCCCCCCACCCCCACCCCCAAGCCCCCCCCCACACCCGCACCCCCAAGGGCTTTTGGATTAGGGTTCAGGGTTTAGGATGATGTATCCTGCAACACTCCTGCAACGCTCCTGCAATAATGCATGAAAGATATGAAAAAACCTAAGATCGTTGCCTTTCATAGACGGTGACCTCGCAAACCAAGCATCTCGACAGGTCACGTTCACGGTGTGGCCGACCGACGGTGACGCATCGACCGCCACGGTTCCTTGGACGCCCTGGCCCGGAGCACAAGAAACCTTCCCCGATGATCTTTTTCCGAAGCACTTGCTGGGCATGTGATGAGCACGGCATCCCTACTGCTAACTACGTGGGAACATCCCATCTCTGCTCAGGTGGACTTCTCGGGTGGTGCAGAGAGGCCACTCAGCCTGGTATGGGTGCGTCTAGTGGGCGCGTGTGCTTGTTCAGGAGTTGTGACAGCTTCTTCCCCTGTCTAACTTCAGTCATTCAGTTGCTTCGCTTCAGTACTGCACTCGCAAGTTTGATCGCTTCCACCTGTGGACTAGGACAGTCCACAAGTCAGCGGCGAGAAAGCGAGAAAGCGAGCGAGCGAGAGAGAGACAGAGAGACAGAGAGAGAGAGAGAGAGAGACGAAAATGAAGAAGAAGAGCTCGGAGCTTTCGCGAAGGTTTCGGCGCTTGAGCGCCAAGATCCCTCAGTGTGCGTGCGGGTACCTGGCAGTCGTCATGAAGCACCCGGGACTAAGCGTCTCCTTTGATTGATCTGAGCCTTCTGATTTTGACACGCGCGTGTCTCGATTTCTTTGATGGCCTCGGTCGTCAAGATGTTTTTGTGCCAGAAGGCCATGGGCGGAGCGGAAGCTGTGAAGCTCGAACAGCGAATTATGCTGCTATATTACTCTATTGCCAGATGGTACTAACTGTAAGTACTTCGGGTTTAAGTAGTATGAGACAGCAGCTGCAGTGTCTCCCCATAAACCCTAAACCCTAAACCCTCAACCCCCAAACCCCCAAAACCCTAAACCCTAAACCCTAAACCCTAAACCCTAAGCCCTAAGCCCTAAACCCTAAACCTGAACCCTAAGCCCTAAACCCCGAACCCTCTACACCCATCTCCAATCTCCAATCGGGCAGAATTCCGTATCAATGTTGATTTCAGGCCCCGCCCGGACCCTGGCGAGGCGACTCGCCTTCGTGGCGGCACTAAGGGGGAGGTACGGATGTTTATAGGGTTTGGGGCTTAGGGTTTAGGGTTTAGGTTTTAGGGTTTAGGGCAACCCTTACAGCCAGAGCTTCCTTGGGAAGCCTCCTCCTCAGAAGCCTCCGCGAAAGCAGTTGGCCATTTGTCCTTGAGCTGGACGGTCGCAGAGAATGCAAGCCCCGCTCGGCTTTATCTCCACTTGTGAGTTCTCGCACTCCTTTGAGGCCTCTTATAGCGGCTTACAGTGCCTGCTGACGACGTAATCCTTCGCCAGGATGCAATCGGATCAACGACACAGAAGTCAGGCTTCTCATGTCTGCAGGTGAACTGGTGCGAGTGCGAGAAGCTACGGTTTTTGTCCTTATAGTCACAAGGCGTACAATTTCGGCACCTAGTGTAGCGTAGCACAGGTTTCCGGACAGCCCTCGTGGGCTCGTACCGGGAACGCCCCAAGATATGGCAGGTGCTCAGGCACCGATTTTCAGGCATGCACAGGCTCTCTATGTAGCATGTGTTCGATCTTTGCCTTCTGGTAGCCACTGCTGTGCGCCTTTCTCAAAGAAAGGTCGCTGGAGCACTAGGTGTAGGTGACCAATCCGCTTCCAGCGCCACAAGCGACTGGGAGCGCAGAGCATTCTGCTCTATACCCCTTCAGACGCCAGACATGATGCCAAAAGTTCGCTTTCAAGAGCGCGTCAGTGAGCCCCACGCTTGAGCCACCAACAAAGTCAAAGCTGCAAAGAAGATCTCCTGAGGAGCCGATGCCTGGGGTGCTGGTTTTTCAGCTACTGGGGGCTGGCCTATGCACCAGGACCCTCACCAGCCGTCTGAACTTACTTGGGCCTTGAAGAACCTGTGCGTCACGAAGGGTTTTGGGTCCCTGTGCTTGCCCTCAACCCTAAACCGTAAACCGGTACATGTCGAGTCTCGCATCAGATGGTGCAAAAGCTGTCAATGTAATAGCATGAGGATCTGGGCTGAAACCGAGCATTACATCTCGCAAGCAGAGGACTGACCCTAAACCCTGCAATCATCTATACTGGTATAAGAACCTAATAAAGAATATATTTTTTTGCTATTATAATATACTGTAGTATCAACAAATCAGAATTTCATAGCATCATAATGTCCAAGTATCAAAATATAGAAATATCAAAATATCAAAAGACAAAAATACCGAAATATCAAAATCATAATATCATAATATCATAATATCATAATATCATAATATCATAATATCATAATATCATAATATCATAATATCATAATATCATAATATCAGAATATCAGAATATCAGAATATCATAATATCATAATATCATAATATCATAATATCATAATATCATAATATCATAACATCACAATATCATACTATCTTACTGTCATAATATCACAGTATCAAAATATCAGAATGTCATAATTTCATAATTTCATAGTATCATAATATCAAACAATCATACAAGAATTTAAAGAACCCAACCCCAACGCAAGGCCAATGGACCCCCATGATGGGAGTAGAATGTGACGGCAGGAGAAGAGCTTGCCTATGCCAGTGCGGCATGACGGCACGGGCCTCTAGCACACCTGTAGCAGTGCACATGCAGGCTTCGCTTTGGAATGAAGTCGGCTTAGCAGCAGCTCTCTGCCAACCCAGACATAGGTTGCCTCGATGTCTCGCAGATCTTTCCCGAGCTGCTCGGCCACCTGACAGCGGATCTGCCGGCATGCTTGTTGGATTCGTCTCCTTCGCGCGTGTGCCCCGCACCGCACCCTGTGCTGCATGCTGCATCGCAACTTCTGACAGGCAGCACGGCCGGCCTTTACCCAGCTCGGCTTCCAGGCGGGAAGAACGAGCTGCGGTTAACCCTTGTCGTATTTTTTATTGTAAAAGTATATTACATATGATAATATCAGTAGACTCATATATCAATATATTCATACATTAGTATACTATATTCTTACATTCTTATATAAATATATTCTTATACTATTCTACTGTCATGTTAATATATTATCATATAAATAGAATATTGCATTATTGTACTCTTCTACTCTTAGAGAATTATCGTAAAAGGTTTCGATATCAGTATACAAATTTTTTCATACTATATGTCCTCGCTACCAATGACCTGCGATCTCTCATAGTCTCACACATGCCTACACCGTTTGGGGGGTCTACCCCCACAGATGTATTCATTCCATGTAGCATCACGGTTTGCAGGATAGCCAAAAGGGGCTCATCACTTAGATTCAGTCATATTCGTTTTCTGGGAGCATGCACAGGACATCCGACTACGCCACGCCTTCCGCACCAAGAACTTTGTGGGTCGCGAGGAGGCCAATGACGGGAGAGAATCCTGACGACTATGGAAACCCACTACAGCATATTGCGGCCGCTGTGATGCCACGGCACAAGTGGGATCCACATGTCGAGATATGCCCAAAATGTAACGTGCCTGACTTTGTTCTTGGCCAGGTGTTTGCGCGGCACGTGGACAAGTACGCCGTCACGCTCAACGTGTTGTGCTCGGAAAGGTTAGCGTTTGTCCGTGTCCGAGAGGGCTGAGCTGTATCTGTCACCGGCCAGTGAAACCCTAGACCCCCTCACTCTGCCCCCGCGCCAATCTCCCCTGAAACCCTAATTCCAATCGCCGTAACCTTAAACCCCCTATGCTCCCACTCTCATCTCTCCTGAAGCCCGCAACCCTGATCGCCGTAACCCTAAACCCTAAACCTCAAACCCTCACCCCTGTCTCGAATCTCCCCTGAAATCCGAAACCTCTAGCACCCTACACCCTACACCCTACACCCTACACCCTACACCCTACACCCTAAACCCTAAACCCTAAACCCTAAACCCTAAACCCTAAACCCTAAACCCTAAACCCTAAACCCTGAACCCTGAACCCTGAACCTTGAACCTTGAAACCCTAAACCCTAACCCCTAAACCCTAAACCCTAAACCTTAAAACCCTAAACCCTAAACCCTAACCCCCAGGTGTGCTTGCGGCGGACAGCCGGCTTGCAGGGATCCAGGCCATGCCATGCTGCTTTTTCGGTTTCAGCCTTCCACAACCTCACTCTTTTGGTGGGTTTAGGGTTTAGGGTTTAGGGTTTAGGGTTTAGGGTTTAGGGTTTAGGGTTTAGGGTGCCAATATAGGCAGTTTACTAAAGGAAGTCGATTCTGGAAGGGGCGGAGCATCACTTGGCTCTTGATGGCCTTTGCCGGCGCAGGGTCTTCTTCTTCGGCTCGCAAGATGCGACGGAACCGGCCTACTGCCATGAGCACCAGGCCACCTTCGGGTTTAGGGTTTAGGGTTTAGGGTTTAGGGTTATACCCGAGTCATCCCTTTATCGTTCGGACAGCGTGGCACCGACTGCCATCGGCCTGCCATCGGCCTGCCATCGGCCTGCCATCGGCCTGCCATCGGCCTGCCATCGGCCTGCCATCGGCCCTCCCCGTGGCCGCCGCGCGCGCAACCATGCTGCTGCATTGGCTGTTGAGGGGCTGCTTTTTTGTGCTGTGGGATTGCTCTTTCTTGGGCTAGGTTCAGAAGATGATCCGCGAGACAAGTTGTCGAAGCGTGTTTGGGGTGAGGGAAGGAACGCGATCGGGGCGATGCAGCGTGGGCTATTCCAATACCGACATGGTCGGACCCCCCTTCAGTTTTTTTGCGCTTGGTTTCGGGGGGGTCCTCTTCCATTTTGCACACAGGGGGCGGAATGCCAGTCATGCTCGGCCACCATGACTCAAACTTGGAGCGGTCTCCCTTTGGGAGGTTGGGAAGGTAGTGGGGTGCTGTCGCATATGGTGCGAGGTACGGGGAGGGGGCGTTTTGTTGGGGTTTGGGTCCGAGACCCTTCTCGTGCCCCACTCCGTTCTTTTCTTTCGCTTTTTTGGGGGCCACGTGCCAACCCCGGGAACGCCGCTTTCCCGATACGGAGGGCTCTTTATCTTGTAACGCCTGGAGCGCCCAACACGGAGTTTGGGCAAGTTGGTTGGATTGGTGTAGCGACTACATCCAGGGCAAGCTTCTTCTTCTTCTTCTCCTCCTTCTTCTTCTTCTTCTTCTTCTAGTTCCAGCATACGCTACCAGTACGCAACATATCACCATTCTCCCTCTTTCCCAGGAATTGTGCAGTTGTGCTGGAGCGTGGCATCATAAGCCCTTGCAGGTGGGATTGGCTGTCATCCACTCGTCCAAGGTACCTGATGCTCTGAATTTCCTGTCAGCGCTCGCTGCGGGGGTATGTATGCTGTTGTAGCTGATGTGGCGCATGTGGAGCGCCATGTGGCCAGAACATGCCAACAGCTTGCAGCCGTACTAGGTGCCGCACGGACCATCCCTAATTGCACTCAATTGCACGGGATTCCTTGCTTCAGCTGCTTCAGCGTATTGCTCGCGGCCAGGAGTGGCATCAAACTGAGAAGCTGTTCATGGGTGAGCGGGGCTCTTTGATCATGTGGTACGAGATGGGTTAGAACTGTCAGCAGCAAGTCCCGGGTGCTGCCGTGTTAGCCACAGCGAAACCCAGTGCCCGAATTGCACCTTGGTGGCTGCGGCAAGATTCCGCACAGCTGCCGCGTCTGGCCATTCTGGCGTATCCTGCTGTACAGCACATTCCGCGCTCGGATCCCAGCAGCAAAGGAGGGCGGTGCCGAATCCCTAAACCCGAAACCCTGAGCCCAAAACCCGAAACCCTAAACCCCAGAAGTATCCTTCAACGAACTCCTTACCTTGCGCAGGCCTCCCTCGTCCGGTCCGCAGGCGAAGTCTGCGAAGGGCGAGGTGGGGAGTGACATTTTAGGTTGAGGGGTGGGTCCCTCTTAATTCTTCACTGAGCCACGATGAGCACACCAATGAAGGTGGGTTCCACTTTGCTGAGTACGGGTCCTTTTTTTTGGGAGCTGGTACCTGTCATGTCATAGCGCAGGCTGTTTGCTTTAGGGCAACCCCTCCCCCCCAAAAAAATTGAAGGGACGCACCATGTCCTAGAACACCCATGTCACGCGGCCAGGACTTAGGCGTTCGCGACAAGCTGGGCCAAGACGCTTCTGCCTACGTCCCTGTCTCAGTCTGAGTCTTGCATTTTTTATTTTGATTATTCTTATTCTTCTTCTTATTATTCTTGTTCTTATTATTAATGCCATTCTTCTTCTTATGATTATGATGATGATGATGATTAGTATTAGGGATGAGACACTGAAAACACTGATAAGCCATACTGCAGACCGCCCCCAAAACGTTCGGCTTGAGTTTGTGTAGGATACGGGGAATCTACATTCCAGGCCGCTCTAAAAACCTAAACCCTAAACCCTAAACACTAATCCCTAAACCCTAGACCTTGAAGTTCTTTTGGACACCTGTAAGGCCAAAGCATGGGCATTTGTAGTTCTTGGCCCTGAGCCCTAAACCCGGCACCCTAAACCTCAAACCCTGCACATGAAGGGTTTTTGGGTTCTGGGGTTTAGGGTTGAGGGTAAAAACACCCTAAACCCCTGAACTGCATGAAAGGCTGCTGGTGATGAGCACTTGGTGCTTCCTCCGAATGCGCTTCAGGTGGGGACCTCTTGGTTCGCATGAGGTTATAGGGATTGAGGGGTTTAGGGTTTAGGGGTTTAGGGGTTTAGGGGTTTAGGGGTTTAGGGTTTAGGGGTTTAGGGTTTAGGGTTTAGGGGTTTAGGGGTTTCGGGTAACAGGGGTTGAGGGTTCAGGATCCCAAAAAGCGCCCAAGCTACGCTAGTCCTTCTTCTACCAAAGCCTCCAAGAAGGGTACAGCCCTGGCTTCGCCCTAAACCCTAAACCCTAAACCCTAAACCCTAAACCCTAAACCCTAAACCCTAAACCCTAAACCCTAAACCCTAAACCCTAAACCCTAAACCCTAAACCCTAAACCCTAAACCTAAACCCTAAACCCTAAACCCTAAACCCTAAACCCTCAACCCCAGGTCATTCTTGCAGGTCAAGCAGCCGAAGCCCGGGATTTGAAGCCCTGCGAAGATGCCTGCCACCCCAAGCCCAAGCATGTAGAGCTGGTACGCAGCTCAGGAGAAGAGTAGGTAGGCTTTCTCCTTTTCGGGGTATAAGAATCTCTACATTTTAGTTTTTTTCAAACATACTTCATACTGGACAACCAACCAAGACAGGGATTTCGAGACCCTGCACCACGGACAGGCCTGCCGGCTATGAGCACGGCGTGGGCCAAGTGCCCCACCCAGTCCACCGCACGTGGTGGTTTTGTGGTTGGTGGCGGTTGTAGCTGTGGTTGTGGTCGTGTTGCTGACTCCTACAGGTTTCCATGCTTGCGCGGCATCAGCATGCTTCAGCGTGACTGCGTGTGGCGTTTGCTGAGGTCGGAGATGACCTGACGATCCAGCAGATCCGACTGCTTTTGCGTTGTTCTCCGCCCGCACGGCAGGGCTGTTGTTTCACTCGATACCAGGTTAGTGGGCTGAAATCTGCCAGAATGTGCATTGGCTTCAATCAGGAAAGCGGTAAATAGCAGACAGTCGGAAGTGTTTGCCTCGTGCCGTGCCCTCACTAAGGACCTCCCTAAACTTTAAACCCTAAGTCGTTAAAAACCCTAAGCCCTGAACCCTAAGCCCTGAACCTTAAACCCTAACAAATGAGACCAACAACAGAACCACCTGTAAACGAGCCTCCGTCCCCCGAAGGCTTGTCCTCAAGGAGTTCATGGGTATCTCTTAAGTAGGGTTAGAGGTTGGGGAGTACCAGCTGTACTTGGCTATAACCCTTTTTTAGGGTTTTTCTCCCCATTGAGAATGGGTAGAAGAAGCCTAAACCCTGAACCCTGAACCCTGAACCCTGAACCCTGAACCCTAAACCCTAAACCCTAAACCCTAAACCCTAAACCCTAAGCCTAAACGAGGGGGGATAACTGCGATGCCGACTCTGTGAGCATTCGTGCCGCCCCGCAGCACTTCTTGTTCACGGAGAGCCAAGGTGTAGGGTTTAGGGTTTAGGGTTTAGGGTTCAGGTTTAGGGTGTTTAGGGTTTAGGGTTTAGGGTTTAGGGTTGCTGGGGGCCCCGCGCAGCTGAGTTCGTGAAGCCAATGAGGCAAGCTTGGCAGGCTCGGCTCGCAAGCTCTCTGCTGAGCAGCGGCTTGGGTCTGCTTTGGAGTTTAGAGTTTCGACCTTGGACCTGCTTTAGACTTCAAGCAGCTGACTTTGTGACCTGCTTGGGAGGTCCTCCTGCACGTCCTTCTCGTCCTTCAGCTTCAGGCGTTTCATCTGGCACCCCAGCCAGCGCGGCGGCTGGTGCCAGCGCGGTACTTTGCCTCCGCACAGGTGGGTGACGTGGACATCAGCGCAGATGGAGTGCCGGCAGAATGGGCCGACATCGCACAGTCCGAGCATGACCCTCACGTCTGGGAGGAGGATGGAGTTGTGCTTGGGAAGGGTGCCTTTGGAACAGTTGGGCGAGGAATCAACAAAGAGACAGGGGAGCTGGTCGCGACTCTTGGGCGGATGTTTCATAGTTCCTGAGAACGGCTAAGCCCCAGACCAGAACCCAAACCCTAAACCTTGGGGACCCTTAACCCGAAACCCTGGACCCTGAACCCTAAACCCTAAACCCCGAACCCCCTAACCCAAAGCCCGGAACTCAGGATCAAGCGAATTGCCCCCAGCCACAAGCTTGCCGTGGCCACCGCGAAAAACGAGGTGGAAGCGGCACTCCGCCCCTCGACTAAAGGAACCCGACAAGCGTCTGGGTTCCTTGTACACGTGACTGGGGATGATGGTCAATTTTTTGTAGCGTGGGTTCCTGACTCTCTGACCCCAAGTTTAGGGTTTGTTTGGTCCGCAAGGCTTGGGGGAGCATCCGAACATCGTGCAGATGAAAGCCTTTTTCCTGGCCCCTCTCGAGCCGGGGCGAAAGGAGCGAGACGTGGTCTTGGTTTACCGTCTGGCTCTGGGCAGAGACCTGCAGCAATGGATAAACCAGCAGCACGGCAGTACATTCGACGTGTGCTATGGTTCGCCCAAGCTGACGGACGAAGCCTTGCGGATCATGCGCCAGCTCGTCTCCGCTCTGCAACATATCCATGACCGAGGCCGACTCAATCTGACGTGAAAAACGTTGGGACAGCGCACATCGGTCATGCATCGGTCACTCAAGTATGAGGTAGGGTCTATGTTGCTGTAACTGGTGAGTGAAGATGTATATGTACAGATATATATATATATATATATACACATATATATATATAGATATAGATAGAAATATATATATATATATATACATACTTATTTCAGTTTTGGGTAGCCCCAATGTTTGGTGTAGTGTAGCCCAAATATGAGGCTGCATATTGACATGGGAACAGGAAGCCAAAAGGGGGGGCCCCCACCTGGAAACCCCTGGCGTGTTTCGAGGCATCCAGCATCGAGACTTGAAACCAGCAACTCGGTAGGCCCTTGGGATATCTTTAACTTTCCCTTAGTAAGTTTAAGAGGATCACCCACAGTCTTAAACCTAAACACTAGACACTAAACCCTAAACCGTAAACCCTAAACCCTAAGCCCTAAGCCCTAAGCCCTAAGCCCTAAGCCCTAAGCCCTAAGCCCTAAGCCCTAAGCCCTAAGCCCTAAGCCCTAAGCCCTCAACCCCAAACCCCAAACCCCAAACCCCCAACCCCAAACCCCAAACCCCAAACCTTAAACCCTAAACCCACAGCTGAGGCCCTAAACCCTAAACCCTCAACCCCAAAAACAATTTTAATGGTCCGACGAAGGCGAACATCCTGCTGAGCGCGGGCTGCACGGCGCTCGTCGCTGACTTCGGCATCGCTTTGGTGAACCGGACCTCGGAGAGGCGTTCAGGGGTTGAGAGTTTGGGGTTGAGGGTTGAGGGTTGAGGGTTTAGGGTTGAGGGTTTAGGGTTGAGGGTTTAGGGTTTAGGGGGTTTGGGGTTGAGGGTTTAGGGTTTAGGGTTCAGGGTTTTGGGTTTAGGGTTTAGGGTTGAGGGTTTAGGGTTTAGGGGGTTTGGGGTTGAGGGTTTAGGGTTTAGGGTTCAGGGTTTTGGGTTTAGGGTTTAGGGTTGAGGGTTTAGGGTTTAGGGGGTTTGGGGTTGAGGGTTTAGGGTTTAGGGTTCAGGGTTTTGGGTGTAGGGTCTTATGGGTTGTCCTTTTGGAAACGATTCGAATTAAAACCCTACTTCAAATGCCGTATTCTCTATATAGAAGACAAAGGAAAGCAAATGCACTTTCATGCGAAGGTAGCCCCAAATCTAGACCTGCACTGCACTTTTTGGAGTGCTGAACCCCCCCCCCCCCTCCCCCCCCTTCAGAGAATCCCGCCCTGAACCCTAAACCCAAAAAAAAACTCAACCCTCAACCCTCGACCCTCGACCCTCGACCCTCAACCCTCAACCCTCAACCCTCAACCCTCAACCCTAAACCCTAAACCCTAAACCCCTGAGCCCAAACGCCCGAGAGCTGTACATCCTCAACCCTAAACCCTAAACCCTAAACCCTAAACCCTAAACCCTAAACCCTAAACCCTAAACCCTAAACCCCTGAGCCCAAACACCCGAGCGCTCTTGGGGAGTGCAAGGCAGCAGGGCCACGCAGCACTCGGCGACTTCTACTTCATCGACGTGGACTCCCTGGTGACGAAGGAGCCAAGAACAGTTCAACATTTAGGGTTTAGGTTTTCGGGTTTAGGGTTTAGGGTTTAGGGTTTCGGATTAGGGTTTAGGGTTTCGGGTTTAGGGTTTCGGATTTAGGGTTTGGATTCCCAAGAGGGCATACCCCTTATAAGAAACTATATGGAGTATGGGAATCCTTCCTTTTATCCTTTTTTAGGATAAGGGGTATGGTCAAATGGGGACCCGACGTAAACCCTAAACCCTAAACCCTAAACCCCAAATCCTAAACCCTAAACCGTGATTTATTCTTGAAAGGAGCTCCCCTACACCCTCGACGACGACGTGTACAGCCTCGGCGAGGTCTTCGTCCGAATCTCGGCAGGGGTTTAGGGTTTGGGGTTTAGGGTTTAGGGTTTCGGGCGATTTTCAGAATCTCCCCCCTTTCTTGAGGGTTTAAGAGGATCACATGTAGGACTCTTTCTCGGAAGTTTTTTTTTTTTAACAGGGGTCCATCCGAAAAGGAATCCTCTTTGGCCGCTATGCCACTGGCGGCGACCTCCGACGCTTTGTGGAGGGAGGATCCGAGCTGCCAGCTGCTCAGTAGTAGAGTAGATAACCTTTATAGCCCTTTTGGGGTATTATAATTCGAATATGACCTTTATGAGTAGATAACCTTTGTAACCCTTTTGGGGTATTATAATTCGAATATGACCTTTATGAATGGGACATGATAATTCCTACATACACCTGTTTGGGGTATGCCTTTTGGGGGGTATTATCATTCCGATATTATTCTTACATAGCCTTTTTGGGTTATTGAAATTCCTGCATAACCTCTTTGGGGCACAAGGTGAACCTCTAGTTTTCGCGCCCTGCTGGGCATGTCAGGCTGTGGTGCGGATCCTGTCGCAGATGTTGGGGCCCAGAGACCGCCGCTGTTCCCTCTCCCAAGTGCAGGCTTGCTAGCCCAGTGGTATCCTTTTGCTCCTTTTTTTTTTGGGGGGGGGGGGGGTTCTGGGTTCCCTTTGTAAAGTAGCCAGCCCCCAAAGTAAGGGTATTTCTGATATGGTGACCTGGGCTGCCACGCACAGGCAGTGTTGGATGAGCTCCGCTTCCAGCCCAAGGTCTCGGAGCCCCGCCCGATCGTGACGAGCATCTTCCTAGGCATCGGGGCTGTGACGACGGTCAGTGTCGTCATGGACCACCTCCGGAAGAAGAAGTTCCGAAAGCAGGACATCTAGGGTCATTAAACATTACAAAGCCCTTTTTAGGGTTTAGGGCTTTTTCTAACGTTCAAAAGCCCTAAAACCTCCGGAAGAAGACGTTCCGCAAGCAGGACATGTCCATCTTCTCCAGCAAGTCCAAGCTGCGGGCGACCTTCTGCGTCGGCCAGACGCAAGGCCAGCGGCCGTCCCTGCAAGACTACTACTGCCACGCGCGCATCTCGCCTGTGGGTTAGCAGGAAAGGGGGGGCAATGAGGCATCCTATCTATCTGTGTATGATCCCTTAAAGGGTATATATATATATATATCTCTCTCTCTCTCTATGATCCCTTAAAGGGTATGTACGTATATATAAATATAGGGCCCTAACTCCCTCATTCCCTGCTAAGCAACAGTCAGGCATTGGTTGGAGCGTCCGCAAGGGTGCGCGAACCTGGAGGCTGCTAGGGATGTTCGACGGCCACGGCGGCAAGGACCCTAAACCCTAAACCCTAAACCCTAAACCCTAAACCCTAAACCCTAAACCCTAAACCCTAAACCCTAAACCCTAAACCCTAAACCCTAAACCCTAAACCCTAAACCCTAAACCCTAAACCCTAAACCCTAAACCCGACTCACGCATTGGCTGGTGTTGTTTTTGCTTGCCTTTGTTTTGCCGAGGGGGTGTTTCTTCTGCTGATTCGCTTGTGTTTTTTTTGGTGGCTGACGTTGGCCCTAGCTGGTAATTAGGCGGGGTTGACAGGCGTTTTCTGGCTTCGTTCCACGTCCTTCTGCGACTCGCACGGATCATGTTTTCATGCCATCGCTTGCTGTTACCATTCCTGGGACCCTAAACCCTAAACCCTAAACCCTAAACCCTAAACCCTAAACCCTAATCCCTAAACCCTAAACCCTAAAGTTGGATTGATGCCAGTGATTATCGTGTTTTTAACAGGCATCCTTCCCTCGTTTCCATTGCGGCAGTGCGGCTGCCAGTGTCCCCCCGGCCTGAAGCCCAAAGCTTCAGCTCAAAACGTAGAGGCTCTACAAGCTTGAAGCTGGAAACCCAGAAAAAAAACACAAGCGGAATGCCTTGATGGAGAGAGGGGGATCCCCTTGTCACAAAAAATCCAGCCCCCTCTCACTGCTAGACATGTTTCTATACAAACCACATGCAACATCGAGAAAACAGAGTATGTTCTGTGTGTATACCTGCGAGTATTCAGTATATAAACGGTGGTTCAGGGCCCCTCAACCCTCAACCCTCAACCCTCAACCCTCAACCCTCAACCCTCAACCCTCAACCCTCAACCCTCAACCCTCAACCCTCAACCCTCAACCCTCAACCCTCAACCCTAAACCCTAAACCCTAAACCCGGTTCAGGGGGCAGAGAGAGCCTCCCACACAGCTCACCTCTTGAGATTCCAGGCCTGGGTTCGCAGCCCGGGCCTTGCAGGGCTTGAGAATCTTCCTAGTCGTTCGGTGCAAGCAATGTTACAGCAAAAAAAGATATATATATATATACATATACACATATATATATAACATATATATATATAGAGATGTATTACTAAACATAAGCAAGTATAGGCACTTCCCCCCCCCCCCCCCACGAAGCAGCTCCTGCAGAGAAGGCAAGGTAGATCTTTCCAAGCGCGCCATGGAAAGCAGCATGCAAGAACCTATGGGGCGAGTCTTAACAACGTCCAGAAACTGGCACACGAGGTTTGTTTGCCAATTCTTCCTCCTACCTTTCCTTACCTTTGCACCTCATACATCGAACGCCCCCCCCCCCCCCCCACTGGCGTGACTAAGACTTTCGAGGACTGCGCGAAGTTTGCCGCCCAATCCTTGCCTCATGAGGCCTGCCGCCAACTTTGTGCACCCGACATGACAAGATCGAAAGGGTTAGGGTTTATAGGTTCGGGGTTTTGGGTACCCTAAACCCTAAACCCTAAACCCTAAACCCTAAACCCTAAACCCTCAGCCCTAAGCCCTAAGCCCTAAGCCCTAAACCCTAAACCCTAAACCCTAAGCCCTAAACCATGTTGCCGTGGACGTCAGAGGTCCGGCGCATGCTGCGGGACGCGGAGGCCGAGGCAGCCGGCTTGGAAGGTCTGCCACTTTGGAGGCTGGGCCGAACAAAATCCCCGAAATCCTTGCGCGGGGTTTAGGGTTTAGGGTGTTTAGGGTTTAGGGTTTGGGGTTTGGGGTTTTGGCATGCCCGTTTTGGGGGTTCCTAGAATAAGGCTGTCTAAGAGGTACCCGCCCCCCCCGCCTATTCCGCCTATTTGGGGAAATCCCCCCCATGTGCAAGCACCCCCAGCCGGAAAATCTTCAACTAAACGCCTTAACCCTACATTGCATATGGAAGATCTTGGAGGCTTGCATCGCGAAGCCTGCAGAAGGCCCTGGAAAGCTTGGACCACTTGTACATCAAGTTCAGGCGGAAGAAGAACCTATATCCCCCTTGGGAATCATTTTTTATTCTTGTTTATATAAAACCCAAGAGGATATTCAAAGTATTATGTTTATTAAGGTTGTTTTTATTCTTGTTTATATAAAGCCGAAGAGGATATTAAGAATATTGTTTTTCATTGAGGTTCTAAGGGGAGTTTAGGAACAATATGGACCTTTGCGGGACGACCGCGTCCGTGGCCCTCGTGAGCCCGGACGGATGCCATGCGGTGGTCTGCAACATCGGGGACTCGAGAACCGGCCTTGTCGGGGAGTGGGCCACGGTTGCTCAGTTGTGGAGTTGGAAGGGTTTAGGGTTTAGGGTTTCGGGCTTAGGGTTTAGGGTTGGCAACCTTTTAGCTCTTTTTGGGGAGATTCTCATCCCTGCAGAATCCCAAAGGTTAGCCTTGTTGGTTTTTCTAGGATACTGGACAAGTGAGGTTGAGCATACAGGCTTCAATCCGGAGATCCGCGGGGAGACGACGATGACCCACGCGCACCGAGTGAGCGACCCGGCGGAGATGGCGCGCATCGATCGGGCGGGTGGCTTCGTCGAGTATGGTGCGAGCGGGCACCGGGTCAATGGGGTGCTGGGCGTGTCCCGGGCCATAGGCTACTGTGGCATGAAGGACTTTGCAGATCTTGTTCCATCCTTGTCGGACAGCGTGATCCTGGAGAGGGATGGAACGAAAGCCGGGCGGCTTTGCTGAACAGCGCGTGGGGTCGCGTGAGCTGAAGGATCTTTGTTCACAGGCCTAACCCTAAACCCTAAACCCTAAACCCTAAACCCTAAACCCTAAACCCTAAACCCTAAACCCTAAACCCTAAACCCAAAACCCTAAACCCGAAATTGAGGCTGGTGGGCTTGGCTAGTGACGGCCTCTTCCGCACGTGCAATGAGGACGAGGCCAGAGGGCCCCGGCAAACATCGGCAGAACCACGCAAAACCCGCGCGCAGCCGCGAAAGAGCCCTCCGCGGATACGTCCCAACTTCTTCTGCGACTTCTGCGCTCCTAAAACCCTAAACCCTAAACCGTAAACCCTAAACCTTAAACCCTAAGCCCTAAACATCCCTAAACTTGCCTAAACCCTCAACCCACCCTCAACCCTCAACTCTCAAGCCTCAACTCTAAAGACTAAGCCTTTGTAGGCGGCCTCTGTGTTTCAGCGCCTGGCACAAGCAGACAGCCCCTTGGAACCATCTCTAAACTACTTGGAGGTTCATGGGTTAGGGTACTTGTCTGTGGGGTTGTAAGTACCCTAAATACGGAAACAGCCAATTCTGAGCTATCTAGCTACCTCTCCCGTAAACCTACGTACCCGTGAGCCTCCACATCGTAGGGGGAAGATCTGTGACGTGAGATCGTTGGAGCTATGGGGCCTTGCATGTGGTGCCAGGCTACTCATCGCTGGAGAAGCTTGTAGCAGAGGAGCTGGACAGGGCCGGTGGCGGGGAAGCAGCGAAGAATAAGGCCCCTCGGAGCAAAGTGCCGGGGTTTAGGGTTTAGGGTTTAGGTTTTAGGGTTTAGGGTTTAGGGTGTAGGGTTTAGGGTTTAGGGTTTAGGGCAGAGTCTGCTCGAAGGTAGTTGGCTTTGTGAGAGGTTTGTGCTTCTAAGCTGAAGGACAATGCCAGCATCCTCACTTGCTTGCTCCCGGCGTTGTGAAAGACACGGTCTTCCCTTGAGCAGGGGTATTGGTGGAGTTGGAGCCACTGCGCTCCGCTTTTCAGGGTGTCGCCTGCTAATGGCGGATAGTTCGGCTCCCTGCGCGCCCGATGCCGGCGTTGACGGGCCAAAGCGGCCGTTGTGATTGTTTCCTTCAGGCCAAAGCATGCCTGTAGCCGGACTCTGAGCATCAGCGCAGGAGATTTCGTTAACAAAGCAAAGAAGGCGCGGATTTGTGCAGGGTTGTGAATGAAGCATGTCCCTAAACCCCAGTCCCCAAACCCTAGACCCCAAACCCCAGACCCCAAACCCCAACCACTCGAAGCCTCACAGCAGTTCCAAAAGGTGAGGCTCTCTGCACGTGGCTGCTTGGGCTCAGTGCCTTCGTCCCCAGGTGAGGGGGGATCATTTTCTGGAGGGAGGGGCCTCCGGGGGGGCGGGGGTGCGCAGCTGAGTCTGAGCACCCTGCGCGGCCGCAACCTCAGATGGCCAAGAAACAGGGTTTTGGGTTGAGGGGGGGGGCGGGGGGGTACAAATTTTTTTCCTGCTTAGGGTTTAGGGTTTAGGGTAGCTTCAAGCCTTAAGCAGCTGGAAATCCACGAGTTTTGTGCGTGAGCCTGCGCAGAATTCGGAGCAAGAAACTTTGACATCACCCTGAGCTTGTCGTGAGCAAAGTTCGCTCTGAGGAAGAAGGGAAGCTCATCTTCCGTTGCCTTTGGTTGCAGCAAAGTCCCCCTGAGCTGAGGCAGCCCCTGCCCGTTGTTTAAAAATGTTTAAAAAGGGTTTAGGGTTTAGGGGTTTAGGGTTTAGGGTTTAGGGTTTAGGGTGCTAGCTGAACAGTAGGTGGCCGGAGCCCCAGCGCTGAAGGCCAAGAGACCACGCAAGCACCCCAAAGGCATGTGGAGCTCAGTCTGCAGCGGCATAATAACCCAACATATTCTGGTGATAAGGAGAACTACGGTGGGAACCCTAAATCCACAGAAAACCAGAAGCTCGAAAACCCTGAAACCCTGAAGCCCCTAACGCCCTAAGGCCCAGACAAAACCTCAAGCAGTTGCCACAAACCCTAAACCCTAAACCCTAAACCCGAAACCCGAAACCCTAAAGCCTAAACCCCAAACCCTAAAACCTGAGCCCTAAACCCTAAATCCTAAACCCTAACCCTGAACCCTAAACCCTAAACCCTGAACACTTCTTGTTTTGCTCTGGGAGCCTCGAGCCGAGGGCCTCCGCCTTCTGGGCGGAGGATGATGGCCACCGGCGGCCCAGGCGCCATGCACTCGTTTAGGGTTTAGGGTTTAGGGTTTGGGGTTTAGGGTTTAGGGTTGAGGGTTTAGGGTTGAGGGTTCAGGGTTCAGGGGTGCTAAGAAGTGGCATTATAAGTGCCCGAAAGAACGGTATGGCCAAGTATGTCTATCCTTGCCCTGCTTGTAGCCCTGCCTAGAAGTACCCTTGAACCAAGTAGGGACTGGGGCCCGCGCTGAGGGTTTAGGGTTAGGGCTTAAGGTTTGAGGCTTCGGGGCCTATACCAAGCCTCACACCTTAAGCGATCCTGAAGCTTCTCACAAGGTTTAGGGTTTAGGGTTTAGGGTTTAGGGTTTAGGGTTAGGGTTTAGGGTTTAGGGTTTAGGGTTTAGGGTTTAGGGTTTAGGGTTTAGGGTTTAGGGTTTAGGGTTCAGGTTTGGGGCTTAGGCCTCAACCCCCTCATTCCCCTCTTCTGCAGGCTACCCGCCCTATCGTCCGCCCTATGGCCATCAGGGCCCGGTACCTGGTAAGATGTGGGAGGTTTAGGGTTTAGGGCTTGTCGATTTAACATGCGTAGTGTATGGAAAGAGAGACGGACGTCCGAAACCTTCAGCGCAAAAGAGTTCCGTCATGTACATGGAGCTCTACTTTCTCCCACCCCAGGATGCCACCCAAAGCATCTGTAGGACGCTTAAGTTCTTAAGCGTCGCTAATATTGATAATAGTGTCTGGTAAAGAGATTACAGAAAATGTGAGAAACAAAAGACCATGCACTTACACAGTAAATGGCTGTAATTATGTTCCATAATTACCATTTACTTCTAGGTAAGACTAGAAAGTCGGCTTGCTAAGGCCTTAGGGGGGCTTACCCCCTCCTGTGGGGTACTCCACACAGAAAAACGCCTTGTTTTGGAGTAATTTTTGGCTCCAAGCACGATTTAGAAAGGCCAGACAAAGAAAAACGCACTTAAAGAGACCACACACAAAGAAACGCACTGTTTTGGAGTAATTTTTGGCCCCAAGCACGATTTAGCAAGGCCAGACAATGAAAAACGTGCTGTTCCCGAGTAATTTTTGGCTCCAGGCATTTGGCTGGCCACGAGCACTCGAGGGTCCATTTTTTGATCCGGGTTTGACTGGGGCTTAGGGTGGCTTCAGAGAAGCCATTTAGCAAGGCCAGACAAGGAAAAACGCGCTGTTCCCGAGTAATTTTTGGCTCCAGGCATTTGGCTGGCCACGAGCACTCGAGGGTCCATTTTTTGATCCGGGTTTGACTGGGCTTCATTTTTGGCTTCAACCACGATTTAGCAAGGCCAGACAAAGAAAAACGCGCTGTTCCCGAGTAATTTTTGGCTCCAAGGCCTTTGGCTGGCCACGAGCACTCGAGGGTCCATTTTTTGATCCGGGTTTGACTGGGGCTTAGGGTGGCTTACCCTCTCCTGGGCTACCCCCACAAGAAGGCCAGAATTTTAGAAAATGAGGGGGTAATTTCCGCTATATAAAATCTATTTAAAATTAATTGGGAATCGAGCCATTTTTCCCGAATCCTGGGGTACCCCTCACGGAGCCTCCCTGGGACCTTCAAAAAAGCTTTCAGCCTCCTTCAGACCTTCGAAAGAGCTTCAGAGAGGCCACGCAAAGAGAAACGCACTGTTTTGGAGTAATTTTTGGCTTCCACCACGATTTAGCGAGGCCAGACAAAGAAAAACGCGCTGTTCCCGAGTAATTTTTGGCTCCAAGGCCTTTGGCTGGCCACGAGCACTCGAGGGTCTATTTTCTGATCCGGGTTTGACAAGGCAGAGGGGAGCTCACCTTCTCCTGGGCTACTGACAAGAAGGCCAGAATTTTAGAAAATCAGGGGGTAATTTCCGCTATTTAAAATCTATTTAAAATTAACTAGGAATCGAGCCATTTTTCCCGAATCCTGGGGTACCCCTCACGGAGCCTCCTTGGGATCTCGAAAAAGCTTTCAGCCTCCTTCAGACCTTCGAAAGAGCTTTTCAGACCTTCGAAAAAGCTTCAGACAAGCCACACAAAGAGAAACGCACTGTTTTGGAGTAATTTTTGGCTTCCACCACGGTTTAGCAAGGCCAGACAAAGAAAAACGCGCTGTTCCCGAGTAATTTTTGGCTCCAAGGCCTTTGGCTGGCCACGAGCACTCGAGGGTCCATTTTCTGATCCGGGTTTGATGTCAGGGTTTTAGGGCGTTAAATAACTCTTGTATTAGTACTGACAGTACTGTCTATAGAAATATTAACGAATATTTGTATACAGACATGCACTTACCTGTAAATGGCTGTAATTATATTCTATAATTACCATTTACCTCTAGGTAAGACTAGAAGGTCATTTGTTTACATTCCCGTCAAGGTGTGTTACGCTCCTGTACGTGAGAAGGCTTTAGCTGAGCACTCAGGCTTAAGCTTAAGAGTTAGGGTTTAGGGTTTAGGGTTTAGGGTTTAGGGTTTAGGGTTTAGGGTTTAGGGTTTAGGGTTTAGGGTTTAGGGTTTAGGGTTTAGGGTGTGTCACACGCTCCGCGCACACCACCACGCAAGGCGTGTGTTGTGGTGTGCGCCAAGGTTCACGTCCTCTCCCAACCCACCCACCCAGTTTATGACCTTGGTCGGGTTTAGGGTTTTTATATAGTTTGTTGTCGGCTCTCCTCTCATAGTCGACGTTCCTCGGATCCAGATTTGTGCTTTGGGATTTGGGCCCCAAAAGGCTCAGAAACTGTCCGGGAGGAGCCCCAAAAGGCTCAGAAACTGTCCGGGAGGAGCCCCAAAAAGGCTCAGAAACTGTCCGGGAGGAGCCCAAAAAGGCTCAGGAGGAGCCCCAAAAGGCTCAGAAACTGTCCGGGAGGAGCCCCAAAAGGCTCAGAAACTGTCCGGGAGGAGCCCAAAAAGGGCTCAGAAACTGTCCGGGACAAGCCCCAAAAAACTCAGAAACTGTCCGGGAGGAGCCTCAGAAACTGTCCGGGAGGAGCCCCAAAAGGCTCAGAAACTGTCCGGGAGGAGCCCAAAAAAGGCTCAGAAAGTGTCCGGGAGGAGCCCAAAAAGGCAAAAGGCTCAGAAACTGTCCGGGAGGAACCCAAAAAAGGCTCGGAAAGTGTCCGGGAGGAGCCCAAAAAGGCAAAAGGCTCAGAAACTGTCCGGCAGGAGCCAGAAACTGTCCGGGAGGAGCCCAAAAAGGCTCAGGAGGAGCCCCAAAAGGCTCAGAAACTGTCCGGGAGGAGCCCAAAAAGGCTCAGAAACTGTCCGGGAGGAGCCCCAAAAGGCTCAGAAACTGTCCGGGAGGAGTCCAAAAAGGGCTCAGAAACTGTCCGGGACAAGCCCCAGAAAACTCAGAAACTGTCCGGGAGGAGCGTAAAAAGGGTCAGAAACTATCCGGGAGGAGCCCCAAAAGGCTCAGAAACTGTCCGGGAGGAGCCCAAAAAGGCTCAGAAACTGTCCGGGAGGAGCCCAAAAAGGCCCAGAAACTGTCCGGGAGGAACCCAAACCGGCTCAGAAATTGTCCGGGAGGAGCCCAAAAAGGCAAAAGGCTCAGAAACTGTCCGGGAGGAGCCCAAAAAAAGCTCAGAAACTGGCCGGGAGGAGCCCCAAAAGGCACAGAAAATTGTCCGGGAGGAGCCCAAAAATGCTCAGAAACTGTCCGGGAGGAGCCCCAAAAGGCTCAGAAACTGTCCGGGAGGAGCCCAAAAAGGCTCAGGAGGAGCCCCACAAGGCTCAGAAACTGTGGAGGAGCCCCAAAAGACTCAGCAACTGAGGAGCCCAAAAAGGCTCAGAAACTGTCCGGGAGGAGCCTAAAAAGGCCCAGAAACAGTCTCCTAAATCCTAAATCCTAAATCCTAAATCCTAAATCCTAAATCCTAAATCCTAAACCCTAAACCCTAAATCCTAAATCCTAAATCCTAAACCCTAAATCCTAAATCCTAAACCCTAAATCCTAAACCCTAAATCCTAAACCCTAAACCCTAAATCCTAAAGGATGAACCGGTCCGAGCCCAAGGTTTGGGGTCATAACTCTTTCGCAGTTCCAGCACGCCTGTCGCGTGCGCCGGCACCGTGCCGGTGCAGAACGGAGCTCCTTCGCTGCGCCTGACGCGACAGCTCCGGAGCTGGCAGGGGGCTGTAACCCCCTGCACGCTCGCTGCTGCTCATCGCAGCGCCCGCAGCTCGCTTTAGTGTAGGGTGTAGGGTGTAGGGTGTAGGGTGTAGGGTGTAGGGTGTAGGGTGTAGGGGTTTGGGTCTTCCGAAAGTTGGGGTTCTAGTTCCAGGATTTGAGGGTTGGGCTCCGGTTCAGAGGGGTTCTGCTACATCTGGGGGGTTTGGGTTCTGGGTCCCCTTCGTGCAGGTTGAGGAAGAAGAAGAAGGAGAAGAAGAAGGAGAAGGAGAAGGAGAAGGAGAAGGAGAAGGAGAAGGAGAAGGAGAAGGAGAAGAAGAAGAAGAAGAAGAAGAAGAAGAAGAAGAAGAAGAAGAAGAAGAAGAAGAAGAAGAAGAAGAAGAAGAAGAAGAAGAAGAAGAAGAAGAAGAAGAAGAAGAAGACGAGTAAGAAATACTTTACATCCCTGCAGGTAGTTTGCGTTTCGTCGCGCAGCTGATGTAGCTGTTGTGTTTGGTTTTTGCATCACCAATCCATTGCGAATCCCGCGAAACTCAACTTGGAAGTTCATGGGTACCTGTAGCCCAAAAGTGACCGTATTTGTCATGCAAATCTAGGGGACGTAGGTATAAATATGGCTTCGAACTACAGACAGGCTCAACGAAGGTTCAAGGGTTTCTATGTTCACCCCCCCCCCCCCCCCGCCCCTCCACATGCACGGCTCAGATTTTTGGACCCTAAACCCCAATCCCGAAACCCTAAACCCTAAACCCTTGACTCCTAAACCCTAAACCCTAAACCCTAAACCCTAAACCCTAAGCCCTAAACCCTAAACCCTAAACCCTAAACCCTAAACCCTAAGCCCTAAACCCTAAACCCTAAACCCTAAACCCTAAAGACCCCCGGCCCCGCGTACGGTTGAGACGCTAGGGCTTCCATGCTCCGCTCCCCGAGGTGACAACTTCGCACCTCAGGTCGGACGTGTTGGGGGGGGGGTGGCGTTAGGGGTTTTTCAGGGCTTTTGGGGCTTTTAGGGCTTTTGGGGCTTTTAGGGCTTTTGGGGCTTTTAGGGCTTTTAGGGCTTTTGGGGCTTTTGGGGTTTTGGGTGAGAGGGTCTGGTGGGGGGCTTTGAATTTCAAAGAGTTTCTTGAGGTTCCTGTTATGGGCTGGAGGTTCAGGGCTGGGGGTTGGATGGGTGCACATGTGACCCAATGATAGCCATTTTCAGGGGACTTGGGGGGGGGGGGCTGATGCTTGGCTTGTAGGTTAGGCACGGTTGGCTTGAACATCCCTCCAGTGTCCTCCAGTAAACCCTAAACCCTAAACCCCAAATCCTAAACCCTAAACCCCAAACCCCAAACCCTAAACCCTAAACCCAAAAGGGAAGCTGGCTCCTGGCACCCTGCAGGCTTACGGAGAGCCGTGGCCGGAGGACTACGGGGAGGATGCGCAGGAGCCGCCCTCCAGCGCTGGAAGCAAGCTAGCACACAGGCACCTGGTACAGAGGTACACAGGTACACGGGTGCACAGGTACACAGGTACACAGGTGCAGGTGTGCCTTAAGTGAGACTAGGTCGACAGCATGTTGCAGCCTGTACCCGCAGGCTCCTCCATGGGGCTCAGGCCGTAGCTCCAGAAACTGCGAACCGGAGAAGCATGAGGTCACTTTTAACACACATGCAAAGTGCAGCAAAAGCTTTCCTGGAGAGACTTTATGCCTCCGGCACAGCCGACTCTCGTGTTTTTTGTTCTTTACGTTGTCTTACATCGCCTTACGCTGTCTTCGGCATGGCCAGCAATCACAAGCTGGTCTGCGCGCGGGCCGCCAGGCGCCAGTTCGGCGGCGCCTTCCAGCAAGCTGTCCGAGACTACCGAGGCGCCAAGCTGGCCGCCCTCACCTTGGCGCGCGGCTTGGAGGAGCGCCTCCCCGATGCTAGGGGCCCTTGGGATATTTTCTCTATGGTCCCCTTTGTAAGGGTTTAAGAGGAGAATAATATTTGGGAATATTTTTGTTCAAAGGTTTGAAAAAAGGGCCATCGGGCCATCATCCGAGGATGGACTTTCATATCTTCCGCTGGCCTTCCTCTACGACGGGGAGGTTGCCCAGCTTTCCTGGGAAGGCTCGGTGTCGAGGGCCAATGCAGAGGCCCGAGCCCGGCAGGGCAACTTCCGCGTGATGGCCAGGACGCGACCTCTGCAAGCACAAGAGGTCGAAGACAGGCTGTATGAGTCTGTGAGCTCGGAGTGCGGCAACAATGCAATCGTGGTGCATGATGGGCGTGTTCACCGAGATGGCAGGACCATCTACGCGGTGCACTCCCGCTTTTGCCTGGACGCCGTCTTTAACGAGCGTGCCAGGAACGAGGAGGTCTTCGAAGAGGCCGTGCAGCCTTTGTTGGACTCAGCCCTTGAGGGCGGAAGGGCAACTGTGGTCTTTTTCGGTCAAACTGGCACTGGCAAGACCTACACGGCGCGTGGAGCCCTGGACCTTATGTCAAACCTTGCGTTCGAGAAGGCGGAGACGGTGGAGATGTGCTGCTATGAGATGGCGGGGACCCGCGGGGGGCGAGAAGCGTTTTTCGATTTGCTTGCTGGCCACGAGAAGAAGCAGGTCAAGTGCTTGACTGGAGACGATGGGAACGTGCACGTGCGAGGTGCGCACAAGATCGTGTGCAGCAGCCCCTCAGAACTCTGCGCGGCGATGGACCGAGCCTTCGCGTGGCGTTCCTCCGAGTGCACTGAGCGGAACGAAGCCTCCTCGCGGTCCCACTGCATTTTTGAGTTCAGGTTTCCTCAAGTTGGGGCCGAGGGGGCGGATGCCGCCGATGGAAACCTCGGGGGGCTCTTCCGCGTCGTGGATCTTGCGGGCTCAGAGCGAAACTTCGAGACTCAAATGCACAGCCGGTCTATGGCTGAGAGAGGAGGCCTGATCAACTACTCACTCCTCATGTTGAAAGAGTGCGCGCGGGTGATGCACAACAACCAGAAGGACCTGGAGAGCCAAGGGATGCATGTGCCCTTCCGCTCCTCCCGCCTCACCCACCTGCTCAGAAGCTCCTTCACGGATGACTCGCACATGACCACCGTGGTGGCCACGCTCTCCCCGTCGCCCACCGACGTGGAGCACTCGCTCAACACGCTGCAGCACGTGGGGATGATGCGCGCGGCGCGTGCCTGGGAGAGTCCGAAGCTCCCAGCAGCACCGAGTCCTTCGGAAGCCTGGGAGCCTGAATCCAAGGAGGCCGCCGGCTTCGATGCGGTGCAGGGCCGGGGGCGAGCCTTGCATAGCAAGCTGCAGGATGCACGGAAGGGTCAGCTGAATCTACACGCCTTCCAGATGAAGACCGCCGTGGGAGGCAGCATCATGAAGAAGTACGAGGCTCAGAGCGCCAAGACGGAGACCTTCATCGACGCGCGCTGGCACCGGGAGCTCAACGTGAAGGTGCAGGACGACTTGTGGGTGCTCCGGGACGCTGATGCCGAGGCAACCCAGATCCTGTCGTCCTGGAAGGCCGAGCAGTGGGCCGCCTCAAAGGCCTCCTGGCTCATATGCTCTGAGGGGTAACTAACTCGCCCTGGCTGTTTCGTTTAATCCATGGAAGCCCTTTTGACGGTTCTGTTCCCAGTAAGTGAAGAAGCGTTTTGTTCTGCATTGTTCCAGAGCTCGCGCGGGCCAGGTGCACGACCTCTCGCGCTGGAGCGCCGAGACGTTGCAGGCCTTCCTCCAGAGCCTGGACCTGCCGGGCCAGGTCCGGATCCCCAAGACCATGACCGGCGCGCAGCTGCGTCGCCTGGGGCGCAGGCCATGAAAAAGGGTTGCGGGGAGGGCTTTTGCAATTCTTGCAGGCAATTTTTTGAGGTGTCTTGTGACCTTGATCCACCAGGGGCCTGGCGGCGCTCTGCAGCGATGCCGCCACGGCCGAGGCGCTGGACCAGGCCTTGGCAGGCGAGAGCCAGGCTGGCAAAGCGGCCGCGGCGGCCCACCGCAGCACCAACATGCGCATGACCGCCCTCGGCAATCACAAGGTGCACGCTGCCATCGAAATCGAGGAGCCCATGAGTGCCAGCCACGAAGCCAGCAATGCCCCGGCGCAGCATGAGCCTGCGCCCGCAATGGCTGCGTGAGAGGGCAGCCAGGCTGTTCAAAAGGGGCTTTTCGTCGACTCCGACTCCAAGGGCTCCTTTAAATCCCCACTGCCGAGACTCTGAGAGCCCGCGCCATGTCTTGGGGCTTTGTACAGAGAGCGCTCCCTGAATTCACCATGGCTTCTTTCCTTCAAGATCTGGCACCAGCTAGACGTTATGCCAAAAGGCGAAGTGCCCTCCCCCCCCAGAGACATCGGAATCTTGCATTCGGCTCTGAGTAGGACTACGACTACGAGATGGACTGGCAAGACCAGCGACAGGCATCCCAGGGTCTTGCAGCCCGGTTATGCCGTTCAGTCGAGATCAGATCCACCCTCCCTAAGCCTCAAACCCTAAACCCTAAACCTTAAACCTTAAACCCTAAACCCTAAACCCTAAACCCTAAACTCCAAACCTGGCCACTGGAGCTCAGCGATTTGCTTTTCCAGGCGCAGTGGATGCAGCACATCGAGAGCCAGTACTTCAGCAGGCACTTTAGGGCTTTAGGGTTTAGGGTTTAGGGTTTGCAGTCATGAAAAGTTCACATCTCAAATCTGGAGCCCTGTCAGGTGGAGCATGGACAAGCAGGATGCCCCTGGGCTGACATTTTGAGAAGGGCTCGCAAAGACAAATCGTTTTCCTGGCACTGTTCAGGCAGCTAGTGTTGCCTGCAGCGTGCTTCGCTTGCTGCATCCTGCTGCTGATGGACTGGTTCTTGGAAACGTCGGTCACAGCCAGAGCACCAACACCTCTGTAGCTGCAAAACATGCAAAGACAGCATTAGGCTACCATCTTGGCCGGAAGCCATAGGCGCAGCAGCCAGAACAGCACCAAAACACCCTAAACCCTAAACCCTAAACCTTACGCCATAGGCCCTAAACCCTAAACCCTAAAGACCTGAAACCTCAACGGTAGGAACGATTGCTGTTTGGCCGCCGCCAAGGAGTGGCAGGCCTACCAGGCCAAGTTTGATGCTGCGCAGGGCCCGCAGGAGATTCTCAAGGAGGGCAGCAGCCGTCGCGAGCGAGTGCAGCAGCAGTTTCAAGTCCCAGAGTCATGGCGGGCAATATATATGGGTCGGAAGAATTACCAATAGTATTCGCTCATAGTCCCTTGATAGATGATACGATAACATCCCCCAAAATCCTGGCCCCTTCATCAAGTGCTGCCAACTGCTTTCACTAGAGGCTTGCTCCCCCCCTTTTTGTAGCCCCGTTGCATCAATTTCACAAGCACATCCCCTGTGAGTCAGTGGAGGAGGCCTCCGTCCCTGACGCTTCGCGGTGGCCCTCCCCCCCCCAGCTTATTGAATCGCAGAAGGTTTGCGGCTTACTTGGAGGTTCATGGTACATACTAAACCAAGTATCACTGTACTTATAACCCACTTGTCAGCCCTTTAAGTGCCCTAATAGGGTTATCAGCCCTTTAAGTGCCCTTATATCCTAATATGGTTATGAGCCCTTTAAGCGCCCTAATAGGGTTATAAGCCCTTTAAGTGCCCTAATATGGTTAGGAGCCCCTTAAGTGCCCTAATATGGAAAGAAGTGGGGCTTAGGGCTTAGGGCAGAGTGGGGTGGCTTGTGCACTCACCGCGGGGCTGCTTCGAGATGTCGGCCGATGCTGCAAAGTAGAAGTACTTAGGGTTTAGGGTTTAGGGTTTAGGGTTTAGGGTTTAGGGTGATCTGCAATGTTGTGTGCGATGTATCGACGTTGCAGTGCTTTGTGTGCCGCGCCCTCTAAACCCAAGGCCTTCAACCCTGACTGGGCCTGAGCTGGGTTGCCTTTGCGCCCCTCTACAAAGTCCAGCGTAGTGCACAACGAGAGTAGCGGCAGCTTTGCATCCATGATGAGTACGACGTTCTCGCACGTGATTAACCCTCAACCCTAATAGCTGCCTTACTCGCAACAGTCCCTATAATCAGCATTCTTGCCTTCTCCGACATGTGATGGCGCTGGCTGACGGGGCAGGACGGCTCATGTGAGCAGCGCCTGTTACATGTCGTTCTGGCGTGTTGGTAGGGACATGGTCCCAAACAGGGACATGGTTGCGTCCGGGTTTGGGGTTAGGGCTTCCTCAACGCGCAGGGTTAGGATGGAGAGAAGGCAAGGGGGCATAAAGGATTAGCAGAGGGTCTGAACATTTCCAAGAAGATCGCCCGGCTCGTTCTCACTCTCTTTCGGTCTTAAAATGTTGGTCCCTTTTTGGGTACCTTAAATATGCGGGGCCGCCTTAAAAATGGGAAATTAGTAAGGGACCCTAATGTAGAGGATCCCCCATATGGGAGACCCATCCGGCCGCGCAGCGTAGCCGCCTTGGCTCAAGATGAGCTGCGGCGCCTGTGGATATGTGGTGAGTTTGGGGTGATGAATGGCGGCCTGGATGCAACCGCACACGAGGGGCCTTTTTGAATCGGAAAGGTCTGGTTTTGGTACCCTTGACCCTCAACGGTTTTCTATATTCACATAGAGTAAACTCTAAACGACACCTTTCGGGTCCAGGGTTTAGGGCTTGCGAATCCCTAGAAAACGCTACATAACCCAGAGAACTGTCACTTTTGCGCAACCCTGAACCCCAAAACCGCCACTGTTGCTTACTGGGGCTAGGGGCTCACCGGCCAAGACTGGTTTAGGGTTTACGGTGTCGGCTTCGTGGGAGTGCATTGGTGGATAAGGTTTCTGGATGTTTCTGAGCGGTTGAAGCCTAGCCATGACTGGAAAGATTACGCAGTGATAGTGGTAGAGTCTGGGAATATGCCCTCTCTCTCTCTCACTTCCACTCTCTCCTCTCCGCTCCCTCCTCTCCCCTCGCTCATCTTTCATCTCTCTCCTGTCTCACCTCCCTCCTCTCTTGTCTCTCTCATCTCTCTCTCTGCTCTCTTCTCTCTCCTCTCTCCTCGCTCTCTTATGATGACACCGTGGTTCCCTGCCCAATTTTTACATCCTCACACGCGGAAGCTTGAATCCATCGAAGTTGGAGACTAGCTATGTAGGCCCTTGGGATAGTCTATATGTTCCCTTCTTGAATTCAAGAGGGCCATGTTCTAACAATACTTTTGAGATTGTTTTAAGGGCCATCCTGGGTAGCGTTGATGCCTAGCTCTCCAGCAACCTCGGCTCGAGCACTTCATTTCCTGCATGGCCAAGGTGCTACCTGGCGCAGTTGCTCGCTCGAAGCCCCAGACGATCGCTGCTTCTTTGTATGCCGAACCTTTGTGCTCGTGATGCCTTTTTCTGAATTACCTCTTGAGTGTTTAAGAGGAGCCCTGTTTGGGCAGTTTGAGCTCGTAGTGCATTACTTAGCTACATCATGTCAGATAACCCTAATCCCTAAATCCGACACATGAGAGATCTGCAATCTGCAAAAGGTGATTTCTCGGGCCAGCTGTCGCCGGAGGCAAGCTTCGCAGCACGGTTTGGGGTTTACGGTTTAGGGGCTTAGGGGTTTAGGGGTTTAGGGGCTTAGGGGTTTAGGGGTTTAGGGGTTTAGGGGTTTAGGGGTTTAGGGGTTAAGGGTTTAGGGGTATAGGGGTCTAGGGGTTTAGGGGCTTAGGGGTGTAGGGGTTCAGGGGTTTAGGGGTTTAGGGGTTTAGGGGTTTAGGGCCTTGAGGCGCCATGTTTGCTTGGCCGAACGTTGCACTGCGCAGGTCAGCGATGGCCTCCAGGCCCTCCAGAAAAGCTGCTCACCCGGACATTCGGTTGCTGATCCTGCTGGATAAAACGTGGTGCCATCGACGTCGGACAAGCAAAAAACCAGAGGGTTTAGGGTTTAGGGTTTAGGGTTTAGGGTTTAGGGTTTAGGGTTTAGGGTTTAGGTTTTAGGGTTTAGGGTTTAGGGTGTTTAGGGCTTAGGAGCTTCTGCATCTTAGGACCTCGCCAGAGCCCGTGCCGTGCTTTGCATTCGCTGAGGCTCTAGGAGCAAGATGAGCGAATCGCCAGGGAAGAGGCCGGGAGACGGTTTTGACCCCAAACTGTTTTTTGAAACCCTAAACCCGAAACCCTAAACCCCACACCCTAAACCCGAAACCCTAAACCCCAAACCCTAAACCCGAAACCCTAAACCCTAAACCCCACACCCCGTAAAGTTGTAACCCTGGCCAGCCCTAAAGCTGCAGGAATCTTGCAGAGCCCGTGCAGACCTCGGCTTTTGACGCGTCTGTCGGGGGGAGACGCCACGCTTTAGGAGTAGAGGTTTAGGGTTTAGGGTTTAGGGTTTAGGGTGGAGGTTAGAATCGCAAATCCGCGGAAACAGATTGAGGATAAGGTTACTGCTAGGATGGTTCAGAGGGGAGAAACGGACACTAAACCCGAAGCCCTAAACCTGTTCCCTGAGCCCTAACCCCTAAACCCTCAAACCTAAACTGCACACCTGAGGCAAATGCGGACAAGCTCTGTACGTCTGTGATGTCAAAGCCCCGAGAGGCCCCGGTCTTGCGGAGAGAGTTAGGGTTGAGGGGGTTTAGGGTTTAGGGTCTAGGGTTGAGGGTTGAGAGTTGAGGGTTAATGGGTGGTTCATGTTTAGGATGAAGGGGTGGGGATACGAGGATTGGCTTGTTCGCAGAGACAGCATCCAGTTCCATGCGGCCTGCAGGTTCAATTCTCGCTGGATGTCGTTCCGAACGGAAACACGCGCAAAAGCCAGGAGCTCTGATGTCTTCACCTGTGCAGAAAGCTTGCGGGGTTGCTGCAGCCATCGTCACGCACCGCTGTAGCGACAGCTTGCCCAACCCTAAACCCTCAACCTTAAACCCTAAACCCTAACCCTAAACCCTAAACCCTAAACCCTAAACCCTAAACCCTAAACCCTAAACCCTAAACCATTGGTAGCGAAAAACCGAGGCATGGACCTGGCGAGTGCAAATGTGACGGTACCGCCATCGCGGAGGCGCATGGGTCAAGGGCCACGAGTCATCCTCGGCTCGAGGCCGCCTTGAGAAGGGTTTAGGGTTTAGGGTTTAGGGTTTAGGGATTTAGGGTTTAGGGTTTAGGGTTTAGGGTTTAGGGTGTGCCTCTTCAACGCACCGTAGCCCCATCCCAAACACACCCCCACTTTGCGGAGACGCTACACATTGTTCTCTGTCTTTCTAACGTTACCACTGCTCTACCATTGCTAACGTTATTACGTACTTCTACTACTACTACTACTACTACTACTACTACTACTACTACTACTACTACTACTACTACTACTACTACTACTACTACTACTGCTGCTACCTCTCTGCTACTTCACTGCTACTTCACTGCTACTTCACTGCTACTTCACTGCTACTTCACTACTACTGCCACCACTGCGATGCATGACGACTATTACTTGTTTGGCATTTTTTCTATCAGTCTTCCCCTAAGCCCTAAGCCCTAAGCCCTAAGCCCTTAACCCTAAACCCTAAACCCTCAACCCTAAACCCTAAACCGATTAAGAGGTTTTTCAAGACCTCCTGCGAGGCGCCGCATTCAGACTCTGGCGGTGCGCAACTCGGTACCCGCGCCACAGGTTTGGTTGAGGGTTTAGGCGTTTAGGGTTTTGAGGATTTGGGGTTTTAGGGTTTTAGGGTTTTAGGGTTTTAGGGTTTCAGGGTTTCAGAGTTTTAGGGTTTTAGGGTTTTAGGGTTTTGGCTCTAGGGCTTTAGGGGTTTAGGGCTTTAGGGGTTCCGTGTAGTGTTTTAGTGTTTTTAGGGTTTTCACGTTTTACGGTTTTAGGGTTCAAAGGGTTTAAGGTTTTAGGGTGTTGAACCTCGCCTCTTCCAAGCACTTTGACAGTGGTTGTGAGATGACCTTCGGTGCATTTAGGGCTCAGCTGCCATCCAGGCAACAGTGCCATAGAGCCAAAATAGCTCTCCTGCGTCAAATGAAGCCTCTCACATGGCGTGAGAAAGTCAGAAAACCGTTCCGATTCATGCGCCAGATTCACAAACAGTCGGTCCCAGAAACACACTTCAAACATAGGGTTTTACGGTCTTAGGATTTTTAGTTTGTTAGGCTTCTTTCTTACTTTTTGTATCATTGATGTTCAACACACTACACCCTAAACCCTAAATTTAGTTTTGGAAACCCTGCCACCCCCTCCCCCGCCACACTGAAGTAGGGCTCGGGGAGCATCTCTCGGGCTTTTAGGGATATTGGTGAGGGCAGGGGTAGAGTTCTACTTCCCCAAAGACCCCAGAATTCAAGCCCTGAGCCCTCAATCCTAAGGGTTTAGGGTCTAGGGTTTGGGGTTTAGGGTTTAGGGTTAGCCCTAAGGAAGAGGATTGCCCAATGGCTGAGGTCCTGGGGCTCTATGTGGTGTGGATGCTGTTCGTCGCGGCCTGTGTCTCAGCCAAGGGCTGACTTGATAGGTCGGGGTGCCGGCTTAAAGGGTTTAGGGTAAAGTTTAGGGTTTAGGGTTTAGGGTTTAGGGTTTAGGGTTTAGGGATTAGGGTTTAGGGTTTAGGGGAGCCTGGATGCACAACTCAAGAGAAAAACGCTCGTATCCCTAAGGTTGTGCCCCAAAAGGTTCCCCTTAATATACTCCGAATATGCGCCTTATATTTTTCTAGGGATCCTTAAAAGGGACCCCAAAACCCAAGGGTACAACCTTAAGGGTCCAAGGTAGAACCCCTAGATTAACGCTCTGAGTTTTGCCTAAATCCGTGTCCATGTTCTTGCTATGGATTATAAATGCCGTAACCAAGGTCATAAGAGACTTGTAACTTGTATCCCTACTTAGAACTACCGGTGAACCTCCAAGTAGGACATTGGCGCGGGTGTGGAATGGCGCGGGACACGCTGATACACGATGGTCGGATGGCTTTGCGCGATTTAGGGCTGAACCCCCAGGCCCCAAACCCTATAGACCCTGGACTCTAAACCCTAAACCCTAAACCCTAAACCCTAAACCCTAAACCCTAAACCCTAAACCCTAAACCCTAAACCCTAAACCCTAAACCCTAAACCCTAAACCCTAAACCCTAAACCCCTAGAACCCTAGACCCTAGAATCCAGCCCCTGCGCCCGCGGACTGCTGAGGTGGTCTGCGTGGTGCGATCCGTGCAGCGCCGGAAGCTCAAGCTTACCAGGCTGGCAGCCGAAGGCCACTCCCCCATCTACAGTAAACCGCAACAAGTTGGAAACCTGTTTAAGGATAAATAGTGCTGGGATTCCCTATACGGTACTCTTAGGGATTGAGGCTAGGCTATTGAGTTTCCAACTTTTTGGCTTCTACTACAGGGTCGCAAGGGTTTAGGGTAGAAAGAGTTTAAAGGGTCGAGTAGGGTCTTCGGAAGGGTTTGGGGGTATGAAGGGTTTAAGGGGTTTAAAGGGTTTGAAGGGTTTGAAAGGCTTGACGGGTTTGAAGGGTCTGAAGGGTTGAAAGGGTTTAAAGCGTTTGAAGGGTTCAAATGGTTTAAAGGGCGAAGGTGTCGTCGACCCTTGTCCCGACCGCCCTTGGTTGCCGTTGTTCCTGTGGCTGAGCTCTCAAGCTTCAAGCAAAGGACATAGGAAAAACAGTTGTGAGAGTGTATAAGAAATACTTATCATAAGTAGCAAGTAAATAAATACATACATCTATACATACATACACATAAGTATATATATATATACACATCATATCATACCATAGAACAAGGGAAGGCAATCCGGCAAGCTTTTGCGTCTGAAATGCCTCACAGACACAGTCGTCCCCCACGATGTGCGCTTTATCTGAGAAGTCTTCGCTTGCAATCCGGAGTTGCGCACGCATTTGCCGCACTTAGACTGGAAGTTTAGCCTTCAACCCGAACCCCAAAACCCAAAACCCTAAACCCTAAACCCCAAACCCCAAACCCTAAACCCTAAACCCCTAAACCCCTAAACCCGAAAAAATAGTGGGTCCACACCTCTGCTGGGGCGGCTGCGCTGGCCGCCGGCATGCTTGGACAGACGGCGCTTGAGCTCGCTTGAGCAGGCCGGGTGGTGGTGCGATTGCGGGGTTTAGGTTTGCCACCGGTTTAGGGTTTAGGGTTTAGGGCTTAGGGCTTAGGGTTTAGGGCTGGGATCCAAAGCCCAGAGCCTTGAGTGATCCTGGGCCTTAAACATCAAAACCCTAGCAAAACTCAGAGCCTGAACCCACGCTCCATGCCTCCAACACAAGGCCAACAAGGCACGGTGTACTTAGAGGTTCATGGACGCCCGCTGATGTCTGCACTTCAACCTACTTGGGGGACTGCGGGGTCCGCGATGGAGTCGGAATCCGGAGACGCCCGAAGCCCTACGCCCCAAGCCCTAAACCCGGTTGCCCTGGTCTTGACCTTGAGCCCCAATGCCCCAAAAGCCCCCAAGTCCCAAAGCCCCAGGCAGGGCTTAGGGCTGAGGGTTTCGGGTTCAGGGTCCAGGGCTTAGTTCGGGTTTAGAGTTGAGGGTTTGGGTCCCTTGTTATAAGACCTTTCTATACGCTGTTGTATGATAAGGGCCCATACGAAGGGCGGTTGGTTCCAACGTTAGCCTACTATCGCCCCCTTATCGCCTCCTTAGGAACTATTTTTCCTTTTATTTACATAAAACTCAAGGAACATTGAGCACATTATTTTAAATAATGGTTCTAAGGGGAGTTTAGCTAAATGTAGACTCGCAGCCCCCCTTCACCCCAGCATCCCTTGCGGCAGGCGAGCCGGGCTTTGCCCGACCGGGCCGCGCTGTGCGATGAGCAGCGGCGCCCCCAGTCGCGATTGAACGTTGGGATGTTCCCCCCTTATACAGTCCTTAAAAGGGATTATAGTAGGGGGTACTCTAATCCCTATGAAGGACTGCTAGTATAAGGGGGAACATCCCAAATTGAACGTCCTGCCGAGAGTTGAAAGGGGTTTGGAGTTTAGGTTTGGGGGTTTTGGGTATCAAATTGGGAGTTCGTCGGGCTTAGGGCTAAGGGGAGGGCGTAGTGACATGGAGAACAGCAGCAAAGTGTCCCTTCACAACACCGCAAGTTTTAAGTTGGGTTTTAGGGGGTGATGATGTTCGAAATTTCCTTCCGAAAGTTAAGTTTAGGGTTCAGACCTTCCAGAAGGTGTTGACGTGGAGCCCAGCAGCAACGTCACAGAAACGGCTCGTACCCCAGGACTGCCACGCACGCGTGCACAGATTTTCTGTTGACACCCGGGCCACGTTGAGGTTGTGGTCAGCTGCAAAGCGTTGGTGGTGGCTGAGAGTGGCAAGAAGAATGGCAAGGCAGGATGAGCATGTACGCAGTATACCTGGTCCAATGATAATGAAAGATTTGGCTAGCTGCAGAGCGGCTGAAGGCGTAGATGAAGCTTGAAGCTTAGAATAAGTGGTTTCCACTGATTCTCTTGCGCAGATCACGATCCTGCTTCTAGCAGCGGCCGGGGCCCCAGAAGAGAAGGACGGACTCTGAGTAGTCCAGTGCAGGTCGCTGTGATCGCAGGTATGACTGGCACTGGTATGCTTGCCAGATATATGCACGCTTACGTATGTGTGCATGTATATACTTTGCAGTAGGTCGTCAAAAAGTGAACTTTCAACGTCCGTGCTGATCGTCGGCTGTTGCCCGTGTGGTACCTACCCTTGGGAAGTTTGAACGAAACAGTTGCAAAATCTCCCTCCACATGTCGGAGACTGAGGGGCTTTCACAGTGAAGGTCGCATGTGGGGCGCGCGTGCAAGGGATGGCCAAAGTTTGAGAGAGGAGCGCGCCGATCAGTTCCGTGCCCAGTTGCTTTGTCAAGGGCCTGAACTTCGGCACGCTCCTGCTCACAATGATCCTGATGTGGCTGATCTCGCGCAGCAAGCGGGGCCACAAGGTGTGAGCCCCAGGCAATCTGGCGTTGGCGGTCTTCGCTAAGTCTTGAGGGACATGAAGGCGAAGTCTTGTTAGCCCCAAACCCCAAAAACCCTCTGCTGTGAGGTGCTGGTTCCAAAGAAGGACGGGCGCCTAGGACTGTCCCTGCAAGTTGCACTTAGAGGTTCAGGCTTAGTAGTACTAGTAACAACAAGAATACTCATACTAAAAATGGTGCTAATACTGGTGGTACTACTACGACTCATACTACTTCTAGTACTGATACGAACACCAATGCCGATACTCATCCTCATTCATGCTAATTCATACTACTACGAATACTCACAATACTTCCTGCGGAGGGCAGAGATTGCCTGCAGGACTCCCTCACGAGTGGATTCGTGCTGCACCCAGCACGCTCATCTTGCGCCACCTCAACCCCCCCCACCCCCCCTACACCCCAAAGGGCGCAGAAGCCGGGTGCGCACGAGGCGATGCCTTCCGGATAGAGGTGGAGGACATGGATGTTATTCCGATCGACGGACAGATGGCGGCTCGGCAATCCGCACAGTGACGTTCTGCTCGAGCTTCCATTGTGCGGTTTGCGCGGTGTTGTCATGGTCACAAGGATTGCAATAATAGTCAGATACAAATTAAATACCGAATCCCAATACCAATGCCAATACCAATACTAATTTTAATACTAATACGAATACGAATAATACGAATACGAATACGACTACGAATACGAATACACATGTATACACACATATATATATATATATATATGTATATCTATATATATATATATATATCTATATATATATATAATATATACATATATACTATACTTACATTTCATACTGTTTCGAATCACAACTACATCCACGTCCAAGGTCATTCGGCTCTGCCAATTGGGCTTGAAGTTTGCAGCTTTTGGCACCCTGGTGAGCTGTGCCGGGAGCCCGGTGGGTTTAGGTTTTAGGGTTTTGGGTTTAGGGTTTAGGGTTCAGATTTGCAGCATCCATGGCATCCCTGCATTCCCCCCAGCCCCGACAACCGTAAACCCCCCAACAGATCCTAAATCCCGAAGCCCAAAAACAGTGAAGCCCCCCTATCCCCCAAACTCTAAGCCCCAAACCCTAAACCCTAAACCCTAAACCCTAAACCCTAAACCCTAAACCCTAAACCCTAAACCCTAAACCCTAAACCCTAAACCCTAAACCCTAAACCCTAAACCCTAAACCCCACGTCATGAGGTCCTGACGCCGATTTACGCGAAAGCGGGAGGTGGTCAGAGCGGGATCCTGGCGCTGACGATGAGCAACCTGCTCCTTGGACTAGAGGGGCTGGCAGTTTTGCGGCTTTGTGTCCGCCTCCCCGTTGAACCTAAACCCTTAGTAACAGCCGTAACCGGGTAACTGTCGCGCCCAAGCACTTCCGCTCCAGCTTCTTGGCCAGGTCCACGAGCGATGAGCAGTACGTCTTCGCGATTGTGGTTGCCGCAGCGTACTTCCTGGTCTTCTTCTTCATTTGGCTGGTGCGTTTTTGGGACAGCACCCGGCTGGGTCTTGGGAGTTCGAAGGGGCCCCACCTCTGGGATGTCGCCACTGAAAAGCCAGCCAATCCCTAGGCCTTGAGCCCATGAACCCCAGGGTTTGAAACTCCCGAGGTGCCGAGTGGAGACATTTTCTCAAGCTTCGTCAAGACCATTTCCTGCGACGAGCCAAAGGATTGGAGGGTTTGACCTCGGCCCAGGCGGGATACTCATCAGTCCCTTACTTCGTCGTGGTGGTGGTGGTGGTTTTACTTTTATTGCTGTGATTGCTATGATTACCACTCTCACTTTATATTGTCATTATTATCACTATGATTCGTACGATTACTATGATTACGGTGATCTGAATGTTTATGATTACTATTGTTCCCTCTATTAGCAATATCTGCCATTTCTGTTAGGATTGTTGCTGTTGCTACTGTCACGGCTGTTACTATTGTCTCATTATTATGATATTTTTTTATCATCAGTTGCTTCGTTATGATTCGTGTCGTTTGTCACTTCTTTACTCTTTTTGCAGTCATTTTTCGTTACTATTTACTGTTATTGATACAATTACTTCTATTCTTTTTTTACCATCATATTTGATATCAAACATTTTTGTCGCGCTTACTTGTACAGTACTATCACTTGAATTGCTGTTGTTCACCACCGTTTTGCTAGTAGTATTATTGTTACGACGAGTACCATTGTTACTTTTTTTGGTCATTGTACCACTGTTACTTACGAGTCCCATTGTTACCATTCTTCCGGTCAGTTTACTATTCTTCCGATCAGTTTACTATTGTTACACGTCTTATTGCTATTATATTTCTATTGTCACTGACTTCGTTGCTATGAATTCTGCCGGTCAGGTCTTTTCCTTTCTTGCAACTCGACGCTTCGTGCGAAACATGCACCGGGTTTTGGCCTCTATCCCCCAGAGAACTCCGAGGGCTGGGGTTTAGGGTTTAGGGTTTAGGGTTTAGGGTTTAGGGTTTAGGGTTTAGGGTTTAGGGTTTAGGGTTTAGGGTTTAGGGTTTAGGGTTTAGGGTTTAGGGTTCAGGGGTCTATCCACAGGCTCAATACTCCCTGCTGGTGCAGCGCCTCCCGAGAAAGTACCAGGTGCGGGATGGAGGTTGCACGCAAAGACGTGAGTTTGAGGGCCCTGGTGGGCAGGGACGGAAGGGAACGAGGGAGATTTTGAGATCTTCTGAGCCACCGGTAAGAAGACTAAACCCTAAACTTCAAACCTAAACCCTAAACCCTAAACCCGAAGCCCTAAACCCTACATCCTGAACCCTGAACCCAGGGCCTGCTTGTAGAAAGGCAGGCCGGCAAGGAGGCTTCCATGTCGGATGTCTTTGGCAGGATTCCAAAGCTCTCGAGCAGCTGTTCTCTGGCCTGTTCCCCGACAGGCACCAGGGTATAGGGTTTAGGGTTTAGGCGTTCACCGGCTCTGGTGGCATGGGCTTGAGTTTTCTTCTGCAGATGAGTGGCAGATTTTTGCCTGCAGGGTCCACTCGGCGGTGTCGCAGCGAGACACCCTTCTGTACTACCACCTGCGGGCTCTGAAGAAAACCAGCCAGAAGCTTATTAAAGTTGGGGGGTTTAGGGTTTGCTTGTGTTTGGTTTTCCCTAAACCCTAAACCCTAAACCCTAAACCCTAAACCCTAAACCCTAAACCCTAAACCCTAAACCCTAAACCCTAAACCCTAAACCCTAAACCCTAAACCCTAAACCCTAAAAACCCTAAACCCTAAACCCTAAACCCTAAACCCTAAACCCTAAACCCTAAACCCTAAACCCTACCCTAAACCTAAACCCTAAACCCAAACCCTAAACCCTAAAAAAACCCTAAATTAATTGTAAACGCTTGCGCGCACCGCCTCGGCAGCCGGGCCGGCCCCAGACACGAAAGGAGGAAAGGGCAGAGCGGGGGGGGGGGGGTGAGGGGGGGTGAGGGGGTTTGGGGGGGCGGGTTGGGGGGGGGGTTGGGGGGGGGGTTGGGGGGGGGGTTGGGGGGGGGTGGGTGGGGGGGGGTGGGGGGGGGGGGGTGGGGGTGGGTGGGGGTGTGGGGGGTTTTTGAGGCACTCCCCTGTAGGAGCCACCGACAAGCGGGACCCTCCACGGCATGGGTTTGCAGCTCCCCAAGGGATTGGGGGGGGTCCCACAGGGTGGGGGGGGGGGGGGGTCAGAAAAATTTGGCATGGGGGGAAGGGTTGGGTTAGGGGGAAGGAGGCCCGATCCGGGTCTGCTTGTTCCAGACGCTTCTTGGCAGGAAGCCGAGGCGAACTAAACCCTAAACCCGATTTCTCCGGGGCCGACTTGTTGAGTTGCTGGCAGCCGCGCTTGCCGACGCCCAGGTGACAACCTGATGGTGTGCACGTGCTGTCAGGACGCCTGCCAGTGTTCGATGGAGTAAGGGTTTAGGGTTTAGGGTTGAGGGTTTGGGGTTTAGGGTTTAGGGCATTCCAGGGACCCCAAGCCCTGCTTTTCATTGCGGGTCAACGGATATGAAACCCTCACCAGCTTCTCAGGCAACCAACAAGAGAACCAAGCTTTGGGTCCTATGGTCCTAAGGGTGCATACAGTGGTCGTTAGGCTGCATGCACGATGGGCCTGTGAGGGCTGCGTGCATCGGCAGCTGGAGCGCACAGTGCAGGCAAGGTCGGGACGGCCATGTGGGGTTTGTTCGAAGTCATGGTCCCATTTTGGGTGCCGTACTTGTAAGCCCGAACGGTTCCAGGCACCTATTTTCGAATAGTCACAGTGAGCTTGATCCAGGGAACCTGCCACGCGGGGCTGCAGCTGGACATGTAGGGTGTTGTTCACGTAGTGATAGTATCGATGTCCAAAACTTGTCGGAATCGACCAGAAGTGCATACCCTGCAGTTGTGCGGATGCTCGCCGTGGTCCTAGTATGTAGCTCGAAAAGCTCTCGCTCTCAGGCAGGTTTCGCTTAATCTCCTCAACTTCTCGCCCAAGCTCACAGCCCCACATGTTCCAACACTCAACGGCCCAGCTCACTCTGAAACGTCTCTCGAAGCTTCTAGAGCGAACTGTGCAGTTCGAGCGCCGGATCGCGCGGAGCTACAGGCACGTGGCCCTGACATGCCAACACACAGAGTCGACTCAGCTTTGTGTTTCCCGAAGCCCTAAGCCCTAAACCCTAAACTGCACTCTTTAGTTGGCTCGCCCTCCTTTCTGAAGCAACATGCAGGGAGACGGAGAACGCTTTGCAAGGCTTTGCCCTCGACGGGCAGGCCGGGCCCCTTGTGTGATGTTGTAGACTTGCCCCCCCCCCCCCCCAGGGGTTAGGTTTTGGGGTTTCGGGTCTAGGGTTCAAGGGTTTAGCGTCTCCTAAACCCTAGACCCCTAAGCCCCTAGAACCCCTGAGTCAAGGAGTGTTCCTTCGAATAAGGACCACCCCCCCCCCGAAGCCCGAAACCCCCTACCCCTTGTTTTTCTATTGAATACCCCCCCCCCCCCACCATATACCATAATGGAACCATAACTGGGGGGTATCTCATACGAGGGGGTAGGGGGTTTCACAGTAGGGGGAGTGGATTCAGGACCACCCCCCCTGTGTTTGGAGACCGGCCCTCTCCAGGTCGATGAGGCCCTGAGCCTTGCGCCTGACCTGCAACCTAGCTTTTTCGCGTTCGGGGTTTAGGTGGGTTCAGGGTTCAGGGTTTAACCCCTAACCCCTAAACCCTAAACCCTAAACCCTAAACCCTAAACCCCGAAGCCCGAAGCCCGAAGCCCGAGGGGCGTTCCGCAGATGTCGCGTCCTCATTCCGCACGTGCGGGCCCGCGGCCGAGGTGCCCTTGCCTTTCGAGAAGGGCTCCAAGGGCAAGGCCAAGAAGCCCGTGGCCTGGCTTCAGACCGGCAGCCTCTATGACCCCAATACTGTGCGAACTGGTTTTCGGGTTTAGGTTTTTTTTTTTTTTTTTTTTATGCGGCCGCCATGCGCATCCGAGACTCTTTCCGTGCCTCTTAAGCATGGTAGGTTGGCGCGTAGGCGCAGCTGCCAGATGCAAGATGCAGAGCATATTCTGGGTGTTTGGCCAGGTCGGTTTAGGGTTTAGGGTTCAGGGTTTAGGGTTTAGGGTAGCCTAAAGAATGTCCAACATCTGTGTGTGTTTTTTTCTCAGGTGCGGCTTGGCTTGGCTCGTAAGAGTAGTTTCTTAAGCCGTGCAAGCTTGCCTTGCAAGCCCATATGAGTTGGTTCCAACTCTGTCACTCAAGCCCCCCGACACCACCAACCCCCGACCCCCCCCCCCCCCACCAAGGACCAACCCCCCCCCCCCCCAACCAACCTGCTTTTCAAACAGCATTCAGCATGTGAGCCTCTTAAACCCTAAACCCTAAACCCTAAACCCGAAACCCTCAACCCTAAACCCTAAACCCTAAACCCTAAGATCTTGCCATGACTGGACCTTGTCAGGACTGGCGGCCGTCGCTTCGAAGGTCGACGAACCTCACCGACGAGCACCAGAACGCCCCCACGTCCACGGGCTTCGTTACGCTGAACAGCTTGAGTGCAGCCAGGCTGCAGACAGGCCAAGATGAAGGTTCAGGGTTTAGGGTTTAGGGTTTAGGGTTTAGGGTTTAGGGTTTAGGGTTTAGGGTTTAGGGTTTAGGACAGGACGTGAGAGGGTGCCTTCAGAAGACAGCTCAATACCCATGTAACTAAGGTATAGCTCAATACCCATGTAACTAAGGTATCTAGTGCTTGAGCATTGTTGAGTCCCCACTATACTTTAACCCTGAAACCCTAAAAAAAGAAACCCCAAACCCGAAACCCTAAACCCTAAACCCTAAACCCGAAGCCCTAAACCCTAAACCCTAAACCCTGTACTTGTGAGCGATGGGGCTCTCTGGTTGCCACTGCATTCCCAGAATGTACGTTGCTCCCAGGATCGGGTGCTTGCTGAGCAGGCGCATGCTGCTTGGGGGTTTAGGGTTTAGGGTTAGGGTTTAGGGTTTAGGGTTTAGGATTTAGGGTTTAGGGTTTAGGGTTTAGGGTTTAGGGTGGTTTAGGGTTTAGGGTTTAGGGTTACCCCAAACCCCAAACCCGATTGAGGAACGAAGACAAGTGTCGCGTCTCTCCGAAAACCACAGTCAGAGTACCTTCGCAGAAAGCGGTGCGGCCCCAACCTCTTAGACCACCACATGATACCTGCTGCGAAGTCGGCATGCCTCAAGCTGTGGGTTTGGGGTCTAGGGTTTCCCTGCGCAAACCATGACTGGGCAAACTTGAAGTCTGAGGGCCCCTCGGCACAAGGCAGGCACTGGACCTGTCCTCGGGAGATATACGAATCCGCGACCTCCACGAAAGAACCCCAAACCCGAAATCTTACACCCTAAACCCTAACACCCTAACACTCTAACACCCTAAAACCCTAAACTCTAAACCCCAAACCCTAAACCCGAAAGCCTCAACCCTAAACCCTAGCCCTATAAGGGGTGTCGGGCAGGTCACCCTCTTCGACCACCCTGAGCTGCAAAATGTGGAAGTGGAGCCAGCGCCAGAGGCGATGAGCGCTGTCCGGACACCTTGAAATCTACCTGTTTAAGGGTTTTGGGGGTTTTGGTTTTGGGTTTTTTGGTTTTTGGGGTTTTTGGGTTTTTTGGGGTATTTGGGGTATTTGGGTTTTTAGGGTTTAGAGTTTGGGGGGTTTTAGGGTTTCGTGTGTAGGGTTAGGGTTTTTAGGATTTAGGGTTTAGGGTCTGGGTTTGGGGTTCCGGCTGGAGACTTCGTCGGGTACAAGCTTCGTTCCCCAGTTGCAGGTTTAGGGTTCGCAACAGAGGGGCAGTCTCAAGGAGGTTGGACCTCTTACGCCCATCATTGAGATTCAGGGTTGGGGTTTCAAGGTTTAGGGTTCAGGGTTTAGGGTTCGGCTTTCGTGAAGGCGGATGCCATCATCTGGGAGAATGTACAGATCCCGTACGACACTGTGACGACGCACAGAAGCAACAAGGTTCCTCCTAGGTAGGATTGGGGGGGGGGGGGGGGGCCCTTTGAAAAGGGATGATGCTGGGCACTTACTTAGACAGGAAGGTCAGCAGTTGGCGCCCCGAAATCCTAACTTGGGCAGCTACTAAGAACCTAACCCTCCAAACCCTAAGCCCTAAACCCCAAACCGTAAACCCCAAAACCCTAAACCCTAAGCGCTAAGCCCTAAACCCTAAACCCTAGAGCCCTCAGGCCTAAAGAAACCCCCCTGGCGTCTGAGGAGGCGGATGTGGCTCGGGCGACTCCTCTGCGGACTCGGTCTGCTCTTCTGGTCGCCTTTGATCACCTCTATACAGGTGCGCCTCTGGGGTTTAGGGTTTAGGGCTAGGGTTTAGGGTTAAGGGTTCAGGGTTTAGGGCTTAGGGTGGGTTCAGGGTTGATAGGGGGCCCAGAGAGTCCAGAAAGCTGAGGCATATTCCTGAGTTTATGAGTCCTGATGCGTGTGCAGAATTCAGGTCATTTCTTCTGTGCAGACACTGAAGATGAAGCTTCCTGAAGACTGGTTCACCTACATGGAGAATCACTTTCAGGTGGTCGCGCCCTGAGGCTCTACCCTAAACCCTAAACCCTAAACGCTAAACCCTAAACCCTAGACCCTAGACCCTAGACCCTAAACCCTAAACCCTAAACCCAAACCCTAAACCCTAAACCCTAAACCCTAAACCCTAAACCCTAAACCCTAAACCCTAAACCCTAAACCCTAAACCCTAAACCCTAAACCTGGATTCGGGCTCAGGGTTCTTCAGGGTTGCGGGTTTTGGGTTCAAGGGGCTGCAGGGCTGAGGCCTAGCCTTTGTGTGGCTCTTGCTTGGCAAGGGCAATGTCGGAAGCGGACCGCAATTCAGAACAACCTTTGGTGTTTGAGAGATTAGCCCTACACCCTAAACCCTAAACCCTAAACCCCAAACCCCAAACCCCAAACCCTAAATCCCACCCTCCAGCCTCAGCTCTCAGCCCCCGAAACCCTAAACCCTGAACCCTAAAACGAATTGGCCCATGATGTGATCCAACAATTCCCCGGCCAAGGGGTATTCAATGCTGGCGCGCGCCTTAATTTTCCAGAGCTTGCGATTCCAGAGCAGAAGCATCACGATGCAAAGGTATGGGGAGTTCTCTGAACTACGGTCCCCCAAACCCTGAACCCTGAGCTCTGAGTATAAGGAGCCTCATCCACCCAAACAGGGGACCGTCGTTGGGAGAACTGCCGATCTTTCATGCGGACACGTGCGGACACTCGGGGGCTCATCTTGCGCATCGGCTGCCTTCAGAGGTTGGATACTTACCCGTCATTGCTCTCTTGGTCCTGCTGCTGATCTTGCCATGCGCATCCCGGCCTGAGGAGGGCTGAGGGGGCTTACGATCTCGCCCTAAACGCTAAGCCCGAAGCCAAAATCGTAGACCGTAGACCCTAAACCCTGGACCCTGAACCCTGAACCCTAAACCCTAAACTCCAAACCCTAAACCCTAAACCCTAAACCCTAAACCCTCAACCCTAAGCCCTAAACCCTAAATCAGAACGGCCGAAGTTCTGTGCGCGACGCACGAGGCACTGGAGTTCATTTCAGTTGTCATCGAAGCCGTGCGCTCAGCTGAGCCTTAGGAGGGTGTAGGGTTTAGGGTTTAGGGTCCAGGGCCTAGGGTGGTAGTGGTTTGTGGTTTATTTAGGTTGCACTACGCGATAGCCCCAAACTCGAAACCCAAAGCCCTAAACCCTAAACCCTAAACCCTGAACCCGAAACCCTAAACCCTAAACCCTAAACCCTAAACCCTACACCCTAAATCTTGCCCCCTTCGACGCCGAGGGGCGGAGGTCCAAGATCGAGGTGGCGCTGTCGGTGTCGGGGAGGACCTTCTTCGTAGCAGAGTGGGCAGCCTTTGCCCCTTTTGGGTTCAGGGTTTAGGGTGTAGGGTTTAGGGTTTAGGGTTAGGGTTTAGGGTTTAGGGTTTAGGGTTTAGGGTTTAGGGTTTAGGGTTTAGGGTTTAGGGTTTAGGGTTTAGGGTAGCCCAGTGGTACCCTTTCCCCTTTTTTTTATATTGTTTCTGAGTTCCCTTATAAAGTAACCAACCCAAAAAAGGTGCCCTTATTGTAGTATGGTTACTGGGCTATCAAGGGGAGCATTGTCCCAAAAGGGGTAACCTTTAGTCCCCTGTGATAGTGCATGTTTTGCACTGGTGGATGCAGATGCGGGAGCAGTCACCAGCATGAAGCAGCGCAGTGGAAGCTATAGCAGCTCGGAGACAAAAGCCGCATCGAGAGAACAAACAGCCTGTTGTGCTTGCAGCGACAGAATTCATTGCGCCAGGAATTTCTGGTTCCAGTTCTTCTCTCTGTGGTTGACCGTGCCCGGATCTGCAAGAAGAAGCTAGGTGGTTTAGGGTTTAGGGTTTAGGGTTTCGGGTTTAGGGTTTTGGCTGACAGGGTGCCCTGCTGCTCCGCATTGCTCCGCATTGCTCCGCAGGTGTTCAGCAGCTCTCTGTCGTCGTCTGTGCAAGAAATCCTGGAGCATCCAGCTTGCAGCTCGGGCTGCAGCTGGCAACCTTCTCCCTTTAAGCGAATCTTGTCCTACAAGTTGAGATGTTCCTGCTTGTACTGAAAGTCCTTCATAGGGATTAGCGTACCCCGGAGTAGAATCCCTATTAAGGGCTGGTAGTATAAGGGGGAACATCCGAACCCACGAGCTTTAGTCACTTTAGTCAGCATCCAGGCATCGCCAGCATCTTGGGAAGCTCGATTCCCCAAGTTTCCGCCGCATGGCTGCGCAGAGATGCAGGGTCAGGGGTGCTGGACAGGGCCTATACCCTGAACCCTAGACCCTGAACCCTAAACCCTGAACCCTGAACCCTAAACCCTAAACCCTAACCCTGAACCCTGAACCCTGAACCCTGAACCCTGAACCCTAAACCCTAAACCCTAAACCCTAAACAAGAACACATGCTTTGCCACCCAGGTGTACTTTACAACGTGGCCTGGCTGCAGATGAGCAATGGTACTTGGGGGTGTACGAAAGAGGAGACCTCTAAAAGAGACGCCCAAATAGTAGGATTCCCTTACAATAGGAACCCTCAATTAGGTATCCTAATTTCGGAGACTACTGTAAGTGTTGGATACAGGGAGAAGGGGGATGCGAGTGAGAGCAAGGCGCGCTTTTTCTTGGGGCCTAGTTTTGGAGGTTCATGGGTACTGATAAGTGGGGTTATAAGGTACCCGAAAGACGATTTCTAACCGATCATAAATGAGGCTACTTTACGTATAACCCTACTTATCAGTATAAAGTACCCTAAACCCTAAACCCTAAACCCTAAACCCTAAACCCTAAACCCTAAACCCTAAACCCTAAACCCTAAACCCTAAACTGGTTATAGGCACCCTAAATAGCGTGAAGGCTGTTGGAGTTCCTGAGCGCAGCAGCCGAGGTTTGTCATAGCCAGGCCGGACGTCTGCCCCTCGAAACTGGAAATCCAGCGATCCTTAGAGAGCTCAGGCTTTTTAGGGTCTAGGGTTTAGGGTTTAAGGTTTAGGGTGTAGGTGGACCTGGAGACTTCTTGTACTTCTCTGCCTGTGGGCAGGATTGGGATCAGCCTGCCGCTCCTTCTGCTTCGGATGGACGCCGTCATGTCCCTCCTTGCATCTCGGCTCGCACACCTCCTCATTGGCCCAATGTCCATTTCATTGTTTCGAAGCTAAACCCGAAACTCGAAACCCTGAACCCTACCCAAAAACTCTGCGCCAAGTTCCCGCAGCGCAGCTCCGACGCTGCCGGAGGCGGCAGTGGCAGCGACACAGATGAGGAGCCTGGGTTTAGGGTTTAGGGTTAGGGTTTGGGGTTTAGGGTTTAGGGTTTGGGGTTTAGGGTTTATTGGGTTTAGGGTTTGGGGTTTGGGGTTTGGGGTTTGGAGTTTGGATTTTAGGGTTTGGGGTTTAGAGTTTAGGGTTTGGGGTTTAGGGTCACTGTGAGGGGGAAACAATTTAGCAGTAGTAAATATTTTGTTGAAATCAGGGTTTGGGGTTTAGGGTTTAGGTTTAGAGCTTAGGGTTTGGGGTTTAAGGTTTAGGGTTTGGGGTTTAGGGTTTAGGGTTTGGGGCGGATTTTGTGTGAATTCAATAGGTCCCTGAGCAGTCAAAGGAGTCGGCCCCGGCAAGCCGCAGTTTGGCGGAGTCCTCCGAGGCAGAGGAGCAGCGGGAATGGGTGGGAGACGGGTAGGGTTTGGGGTTTGGGGTTTAGGGTTTAGGGTTTGGGGTTTAGGGTTTAGGGTTTAGGGTTCGTTTAGGAATTGTGATTGGACCCAGCCAAACGCCCGAACCACAAGGGAGGTGCGAGAAGGCGCCTCCTCCAATCATCGCCCCACACCACGGCTACACACCAACAGGGGGGTGGGGTTGGGGGGTGGGCATCCTGCGACCGTGTGCAGGGGGGATTTAGGGGTGCCCTGTTCTGAGTTCCTGCAGTGAGGAATACAGTATTTTTCAGGGGTATATCCGAGGGAACCTTTGGCAGATCCTGCTGCGGGCATCAGTTCGGTGACATACCGAAGTCATGTAGTAAATCAGGCCCACAGCTTTTCATTGCACGGACACCTGGTACAGGACCCTGAGAAGGATGTTGCGGCAGACACTCCTGTGTACTGCTACTTCGTATCTGAAGCAGCCAGGCATAAATCTGGTGGGAGGCGCGTTCGCCAGCACTGGCAGTTCTCCGTTGCTGCCAAGGTGACCAACATCACCATTGTTTTCGTCCTTGCCCTGATGTACTGCGTGGTTGCTCCGCTCATGATGCCCGCATGCACCTTGTCACATATCGCAAAAAAATCATTCGCAGAGGTTCGCACTGTTGACATGTGTAGGCTCGGCTGACTGTGCAAGTTCAAGCATGGGAATGGTAGGCTTGATCTACTTTGGCCTGGCATTTGTGGTCTACAAGTGGCTATTTGTGCACGTCTACTCCAAGCAGTTCGACCTCATGGGTGAGCTGTGGCACTTTGGCTGGGACATGTTGTGCATCCTCCACCCCCACCCCGGCCCCACCCCCCCGCCCCCGCCAGAACCCCAGAACCCCGCACCCTCACTCCCCCCACACTTACACTGACACTGCCACCGACACACACAGTGACACTGACACTGACACTGACGCTGACACTGACACTGACACTGACACTGACACAGACACAGACACAGACACAGACAGACACCAGTGAGCCCCCCCATGTCTCCATGCAGGTTTGCATATGGTGAGCCGAGGCGTCGTCCACAGCACACGCACAGAAGCTGGTGAATTGGCTCTGTTTTTGTCTTCGATCCACTGCATGTGATGAAGCAGAACTGGTCAAACAGCACTCGCAGGCTCAGGGGACAAGAATCACAGTCCCAAAGGCGCGCAAATCACAGCAACATCAAAGAAGCACGTCGCAGCACAGTGAGAAGCTGTCAGGCAGCATCGCAAGCAATTTCATGTTGCGAAAGCGCAGGAAAACATTTGGATAGGTTGCCCGAGTCAACAAGTTCCCTCAACCCTAAACCCTAAACCCTGAACCCTGAACCCTAAACCCTAAACCCTAAACCCTAAACCCTAAACCCTAAACCCTAAACCCTAAACCCTAAACCCTGAACCCTGAACCCTGAACCCTGAACCCTGAACCCTGAACCCAAAACCCTCAACCCTAACCCTAAACCCTAAACCCTAAACAAGGTACTCCACGTTCTGGGGTCTCATCGTGGGCGTTGCCTTCGGAGTCATCTCGCTGGCTGGCCTGGCCGCGGTCTATCGAGGGCCAAGGCTGGTGCCATCCCCGAAGCAGTTTGCGGTTTGGGGTTTCAGGGTTGAGGGTTTAGGGTTTAGGGTTTGGGGTTTAGGGTTTAGGGTTTAGGGCTTATGTGGGTGCTGCAGCCTGAACGCCTTAAGCTTGACCCTAAAGCTTAATATTTCATCATCAATGTGAGGGAGGGACTCAGCCCTAAACCCCCACACTTGCTGACATCCTCTGCTGTGACGCTAACCATCCTAACCCTAAACCCTAAACCCTCCGTATGAATCTTGTGTGCTCGCTGTAGGCCAGCGATTCCACAGAATATCTAACCCTCAACCACGGCTTGGCAGGTGTCCAGAGTTCTTTGTCAGGAGCTCAGCTGGGAGCGGTTTAGGGTTTCGGGTTTAGGGTTTAGGATGTTAGGGTTTGGGACGTTTAGGGGTGGGGGGGGGGGGTAGAACATCATTATCTGCAGGTTCATAGGCTCTTGCAATCCAACTATAGCTCTAGTTGCGCGACTTGCCCCTAAATGGCGTAGGAGGACTCTGGGGGGTTGTAGTTGGGCCAGAACTTATCAGCTGACTGGTGTCGTTTTTGGTTCTGGGTTCCTGTATCGCTTTAACCAACGCCCCCCCCTAAATTTATGGTTGCTGGGCTACCAAGTGAGCTACGGTTCTACCTGACCTTGAATCCGTGACCCGATATGAGAGGGCAAGAAGTCTCCAAGCATCCGCCGAAGACCAGGCCTTGTGGACGCTCGCCTTCATCATCGCGATCTTCGCGATAAACTGATGCTTGGGTGCAGGGGAAATATGGTGGCGTTTTCTTTTGCTCTAGGTTTTGGGGTTTCGGGTTTAGGGGTTTAGGGTTCAGGGTCTAGGGTTTAGGGGTTTAGGGGTGTAGGGGTTTAGGGGTTTAGGGTTTAGGGTTTAGGGTCTAGAGTTCAATCTCCAGCCTGGCCTTGTGATCGAAGAGTTCTTCGAGCGAGCCAAGGTGAGAACAACTTCAAGAGGAAGTCGGAGGTTCGGAAGTTCAATTGCCCTAAGCCCTAAACCCCAAACCCCAAACCCCAAACCCCAAACCCTAAACCCTAAACCCTAAACCCTAAACCCTAAACCCTAAACCCTAAACCCTAAACCCTAAACCCGAAGTGGCACTTCGGTGTCATTCTTGCATATGACCCTCGCGTAGGAGTGCTTGGCAGCATGTGGTAGAATATGCTTGTCATAGCATCAACCCTACACGCCCTGCCAGTTGGCTCGAGCCCCGGTTTCCTAAGCCCTAAACCCTAAACCCTAAACCCTAAACCCTAAACCCTAAACCCTAAACCCTAAACCCTAAACCCTAAACCCTAAACCCTAAACCCTAAACTGTAAAAGCAACAAAAACCCTGAACCCTCTTCCCCAGGTGCTCTCCTTCCAGGCGGCCGTCCACGCCAACGCGTCGGCCGAGGCCCAGAGCATGAGCTTCAACCGCCACGCGGCTCTGGGGTTTAGGGTTTAGGGTTTGGGGTTTAGGGTTTGGTTGGGGTTTAGGGTTTAGGGTTTAGGGTTTGGGGTTTAGGGTTTGGGGTATAGGGTTTAGGGTTTGGGGTTTAGGGTTTGGGGTTTAGGGTTTGGGGTTTAGGGTTTGGGGTTTGGGGTTTGGGTTTACGGTTTGGGTTTAGGGTTTGGGGTTCAGGCTTTGGGTTTAGGGTTCAGGCTTTGGGGTTTAGGGTTTGGGGTTTGGGGTTTAGGGTTTGGGGTTTAGGGTTTGGGGTTTTGGGTTTGGGGTTCAGGGTTTGGGGTTTGGGTTTTGGGGTTTGGGTTTTAGGGCTGCAAGCCCTGATCCCTCCAGCCCTGTAGAGCCCCTGGCCGTGGAGCCCAGGAAGCTGCTACGTGGATCCCATCCTCCAGGAGCTTTTGGCAGACATGAGTGGGGTTTGGGGTTTGGGGTTTAGGGTTTGAGGTTGAGCGTTTAGGGTTTGGGGTTTGGGGTTTAGGAGGATTTGGGGTTTCGGGTTTAGGGTCTAGGATTTCAGGAACCCCCCCCCCCCCCCCAAAGAAAAAAGAGGTCGTGGGAGCCCCCAAAACAGGAATCCCCATTCTCGGGACATACGATTCATCCATGTGCAACATCAGACAGCAGGGCCGTTGCAGTCAGCTAGCATGTCGGAAGAATTACTCCGTGTTTTTCCCTTGATAAGAACCCTCCCCCAAGACCTTTTTCCAGCAAGGTTGTTCAAGGCTTTCAAGGGCTTCAAGGGTTCAGGGTTTACAAGTTAGGTTCGAGGGTGTTTAGGTTTTAGGGTTCAGGAGATGTAGGAGTATTGCGGGGTCAGGGGTATCTGGGGTTCAGGGTGTCTGGTGTCGGGTCATTTGGGGAATGAGGGAAGTCGGCTCCCTTCTATCCCCTGCATCTAGCCTTTAAGGGATAACTCGGGTTGCGCAAGCCCTAAATCCTAAACCCTAAACCCTGAACCCTAAACCCTAAACCCCAAACCCTAAACCCTAAACCCTCAACCCTAAACCATAAACCCTCAACCTTAACTGCAGGACCTCACAGCGCAAGAGCTGAAGGAGATCGACGAGCATTTGGAAGACTCAGGGTCGGCGTCTGAGTCGGGAAGGAGGCGGAAGTGGGTTTAGGGTTTAGGGTTTAGGGTTAGGGTTTAGGGTTTAGGGTTTAGGGTTTAGGGTTTGGGGGTGCTTTCTTCATTTTACTTAGGGTCTTGGGTTTTAGGGGAGTATAAGGTGGAACCAGGGCACTGCTTTCTGAGTTTTTTTGGGGGGTATAGGGTACCTAATTTCCTCTCTCGCTACTGCAACAGCCAGCAGGTTGTTCCCCCAAAGCCCGAAACCCCACTTGGAGGTGGGTCTGGGAGTTGGTTGAAGCCTTCTTTGGGGCACTTGGCACTGCGCCAAAAGAACCCATGAACCTCCAAGAAGCCCTAAACCCTAAACCCTAAACCCTAAACCCTAAACCCTAAACCCTAGACCCTAAACCCTAAACCCTAAACCCTAAACCCCAAAACCCTGAACCCCCCGTACATTGCCATCCCCTGCGTGCAGCCATTGCCAAGGTCGGAGGGGGAGCCAGAGTCGCCAGAAGCCACGGGCGCTTGCGGGTTCTCCGCGCCTCGCGAGCCCTCCGTGGACAGAAGTGATGGCTAGCGATGCGACCATGTGGGCAGTTCTCGGAATTCTGGCACCCTGAAACCCTCAACCCTGAAACCTAAAACTCTTTCGGGAGAACCCCCATAGTAGGCAGAGCGAGAGCCCTTTTCTGTAGGTGGTTAAGGGCTGTTAAGTCAACGTGAGGGTTACAGTAAGGGTTTGGGATTTGGGGTAGCAAACGAAATGTCGAGAGCTGCCATGTCAATGTACCGTCTTATCCAACGGGCCTCTTGGAGATCGCGGGGGCGCAAGATCTTTTGCGAATAAAGGAGAGGCGCGCTCTTGGATGACCAGGGCAAGAGTGTAACAGAGGGGCCGGAAGACTTGCTAATAAACCCTAAGCCCGAAACCCTAAGCCCTAAACCCTAAACCCTAAACCCTAAATACTATTCCTTTATGGTCCCTTTGTAAGCATACTACAATAACCCCCCCCCCCCCCCCAAAACCCTATTCTAATTATTCAGCTCCCTATATTCGGAACCCTGAGATGCAACTCCTCCCCCCTGTCCCCCTAGACCCTAAACCCTAAACCCTAAACCCGAAACCCTAAACCCTAAACCCTAAACCCTAAACGCCAGACCCTACACCCTAAACCCTAAACCCCAAACCCTAAACCCCAAACCCCAAACCCTAAACCCTATTGCCGAGGTGAGGAGAGCGGCTGGCCGCCTCTGGGTCGGCTCCTTCCGCTGATCATCCTGGCAATGCCAGGCCGCTGCTTGGGGGTTGGGGTGACTGATTTAGGGTTTAGGGTTTAGGGTTTAGGGTATAGGGTTTAGGGTCTAGGGTTTAGGGTTTGGGGTGACTGACAGGGTGTCGGGTTCCGGGCTGAGGGTTCGGGATGTTTCGGGTTTAGGGTTCATCGAAAAAGTGGGCACTGTGGCTTACTTGCTAGTCTAGGGTTAATCCTAAACAGTGGATACTTTGGTTTACTAGCTTGTGTTGTGTTTGCGCTTGTGCTTGTGCTTGTGCTTGTGATCGTGCTAGTGCTTGTGCTTGTGCTTGTGGCTCTGCTTCTTCTTGCGCTTGCTCTTGCTCTTGCTATTGCGCTTGCGCTTGCGCTTGCGTGTGCGTGTGGGTGTCGGTGTGGGTATATATGTATGTGCATGTGAATGTATATGTGTATGTGTGAGCGTATACGTGAGCTTGTGCGTGTGCGAGCGCGTGCGCATGCGCGTCCGCAATCGCTTCCGCGTGCACGTGCGCATGCGCATCCGTGTGCCCGAGCGCGTGTGTGAGTGTATACTTGTTTCTATGTGTGTGAGTGTGAGTGTGAGTGTGAGTGTGAGTGTGAGTGTGAGTGTGAGTGTGAGTGTGAGTGTGAGTGTGAGTGTGAGTGTGAGTGTGAGTGTGAGTGTGAGTGTGAGTGTGTCTCTGTCTCTGCCTCTGTCTGTCGTTTTTTTTTTTTTTTTTTTTTTGTGTGTGTGTGTGTGGTGAGTGAGTGAGTGCGTGCGTGTGAGTTTGTTGTCAGAAGTGGGTTTCAGACTTCAGGGTGACGGATCCAGTCGCAACCCTAAACCCTAAACCCTAAACCCTAAACCCTAAACCCTGAACTCTGAACCCTAAACCCTAAACCCTAAACCCTAAACCCCAAACCCCAAACCCCAAACCCCAAACCCCAAACCCCAAACCCCAAACCCCAAACCCCAAACCCTATACCCTGAGCCAACCTCGCATCCTCAGGCTCCTGGGCCATCGCCGTGCCAATGACCTCCCTGAAAGCCTGGGGCTCGGGCCGAGTATGCGGGGTCTGCTCCCAGATGTCAGTCTAAACTTGGGATGCTCCCCTTATACTAGCAGTCCTTAGGGTTTAGGGTTTAGGGTTAAGGGTTAAGGGCTTAGGGTAAACCGTTTAGGGTTTAGGGTCCATCCGCCCGCCCCCCCCCCCCCCCTCCCCCCCCCCCCCTATTATCCTCCCCAGAAAGGATTGTCAGTATATAAGGGGGAACATCCCAAGTCTAAACCCTGAACATCCCTGAGCCCTAAGCCCTGAGCCCTAAAAGCTACAGAAGGGTTCTTGTAAGGAAACGGGCACCTGTAAGGCGAGCTTTAAGAAACCTTTCATCCAGAACAGGTCGTGTACTTCCACCTCTGCCCTTCACCTTCATCGGGGTTCAGCCCCTCATCCTAAGCCCTATACACTCTACACCCTCCCTCGCATCAAGAAGCTCAGATTCCAAACTCCAGGGCCTCGTTTCTAAATAGGGTTCGCCGAACGCCCTGAGCCCTAAAAACCCTAAGCCCTAGGCCCTAAGCCCCATGAACTAGACGTGGCATTGTTCGGAGGCGCACTCTATACGCCCACCCGGAAGCACTTAACCCGAAAAGGCCCGAAACCCAACACCCGCAACGCTGAAACCCGAAAACCCAAACCCTGAGACCCTAAACACTTAGAACCCGAAACCCTGAAACCCTAAAGCCCCGAAACCCCAAAAGAAGACCAAAGCAGCTGACACCGGTGACTCGAGCTAGGCCCACGAGCCGATGGGGTGCGCCCTGACACATCTTTCCCCGGTGGTGGGTTGGGGTGTGTTTTTTTGGGGTTGAGGGTCCTGAAGGGTTTAGGGCGGCCTGTTTGGGGTGCTTGAGGGTTCTTAAGGGTTTAGGGTTTAGGGCTCATCCAAAAGGCCCCAAACCCCAAACCCCAAACCCTCAACACTAAACCCTAAACCTTATACCCATTGTTCGGGGAGAGTGGGGGGGGTTCGGGGGTTCGGGGGTTCGGGGGTTCGGGGGTTCGGGGGTTCGGGGGTTCGGGGGTTCGGGGGTTGAGGGTTTCAAGGGCCAAACTACTCTAGCTGCTGCGCAGCTGTCAAGGGCTGCGCATGGCCAATTCTCTTAACCATGGTCCCTCTACGGGGTACCCTGAAGATGAGTTTTAGGGTTTAGGGTTGCCTGACTGGCAGATTTTTCGGTGGGTATCTCCAAGATAGGGATGTAATACCAGCTGTATCCAGTTTTGCTCCTCCAGCTGCACGTGCCAGGAAGGTGTTGTCGACTGCTGCGGTTCTCCCACCAGCATGGACAGGACAATTGCCGCTCTGCTACAGCATGGGTTTACGGTTTTGGGCTTAGGGCTTAGGGTTGAGACAGCGCCTTACGTCACCAAGAGCGCTGAACTCCCTAGCTTCGAGAAGCCACAAATGCTCGTCTCTAAACCCTAACCCTCAGACCCGAAACCCTAAACCCGAAACCCCATGCTGCTAAACCTTCCAGCCATCGCAGTCCCATTCAAGGTCCCCTCAAGATCACCCCCCGTACCTAAACACCCTTTAACCTCTAAACCCTAAGCCAAACAGCATCCTAGAGACCTGGAAGCCCCCTTAAGCCCCCTCTAACCCCTTAGTCCCTAAACCCCTGAACACCTACAACCCTAAACCTTAAACCCCTAAACCTTAAACACGAAACCCTAAACCCCAAACCCTAAAACCTTCAAACCCTAAACCCGAAACCCTAAACCCCTAAAACCCTAAACCCCTCAATCCCGACCTCAACAGCTGCCGAGGTTGGTCCGGACGGCTACCGGCGCGGAGTTTCCCGAAGCTTGCAAGGCTCGGGCTTGGGGGGTTTTGGGGGTTTAGGGTTTAGGGTTTAGGGTTTAGGGGGGTGTAGAAGGTTTGAGGGGTGTTTGGGAGGGTTTTGGGTTTTCAGGAGGTTCAGGGTTGAGGGGTTTAGGGTTCAGGAGTTCAGGGGTTTAGGCGGCTAAGGGTCCATGGTGTTTAGGGGCGGTTGAGGGTTAAGGGCTCTAGGATTTACAAGGTTATCAGTTTGGATTTGGACTACAGTTTTTCCATTGGCTCGGTTATAGAGCCCCCTAAACCCTAGACCGCAAACCCTAAACCCCGGCTACAAGTTTCTTTGGGCATTTTTGAATGGCCTGGGGCGTTCTCTAAGTTAGGGTCTCCTTTGGGCTCCTGTTTTTGTTTTTTTTTAGGGTGCCGTGCTCTATATAGGGGACCCAAACAACAGGAACCCTAATTTAGAGAACTACTCGTGCCCTGGCAGCCGTCGTGGGCAGAAGACGGTCGTGGTTTTGAAGATTTCATGAATTCGGGCTCCAGGGGCTCGGATCAGGGTCCCAGGTTACCATGTTCTAAGGTAGCCGCGGAATGATCTAAGCCCTAAATAGCCCTGGCCCTAAACCCCAGGCCCAAACCCTACAAAGACCCCAAAGCCTGAACCAACAAGTCAGGCCCAAGCCCTAAACCCTAAACCCTAAACCCTAAACCCTAAACCCTAAACCCTAAACCCTAAACCCTAAACCCTAAACCCTAAACCCTAAACCCTAAACCCTAAACCCTAAACCCTAAACCCTAAACCCTAAACCTAAACCTAAACCCTAAACCTAAACCCTAACCCTAAACCCTAAACCCCCTAAACCCCTAAACCCCTAAACCCCTAAACCCCTAAACCCCTAAACCCCAAACCCCTAAACCCTAAAACCGTAACCCTGCGAGCCAGCTTGGCGAGGCCGACTTCTACGCCATCCTCGCGGGGATTTTTCAGTGGGAAGCCCACGATTCGATAGCTTGGGGGTGGCACAGTGATGCCCTTTTGCCCTGATTTTTTCTGTTACAGCAACCATCCCCCCCCCCCCCCCAAAAAAAAAAAAAGCAAAAAAAAAAAGAAGAAAAGAAAAACAATGTAGATGAAACTAAAGAGATAGATAAGAAATAAAAGTTTACCCTCTTCATGATGTGTTTTTTCCGGGCCACAGCGATAAGCTGGGGCTTGTTTGCGGGTTATGGGTCTGGCTCTTGTGAGTTTTGGGCCTATCATGTGAGTTTGGGGTTTAGGGTTTAGGGTTTAGGGCTTAGGGTTCAGGGTTTTAGGATTTAGGGTTTAGGGAGCCCTTGGCTTTAGAGGGACGTCTGCTTGCGGCCACGGGAACAGTGGCACATCTGACGTTCAAGCTGGCTTCTGTCTGCTTCGTGCTTGCTTTGTGTGAGCTGCCTTTACGTTGCCTCTGCAAATATTTTTGTTTTCATTCCCTAAATCAAGGAATTATCAGAGTTATGTAAAGGGATGTTCTAAACCCTAAACCCTAAACCCTAAACCCTAAACCCTAAACCCTAAACCCCTAAACCCCTAAACCCCTAAACCCCTAAACCCTAAACCCTAAACCCCTAAACCCCTAAACCCTAAACCCCTAAGCCCTAACTCAGCCCGAGTCGCCAAACCATTGCTTCCCGGCCCTGGCACACGTCTCACTTCGGTGAGCTGTTCTGTTCCCTCTCCGGAGGGTTTAGGGTTTGGGGTTTAGGGTTTATATAGGGCTTAGGGTTTAGGGTTTAGGGTTTAGGGCTTAGGTTCGCGCTGCTCGCGGCCGTGTCGGCGTGGCGACTGCCCACGGCGAAGTTTCCGCTTCCGCTGGTGCCGCGCGCCAAGAGGGCATTTCCCCAACTGGTCGAACCCGGTTGTGCCCCCTTAAGATAGAAGCCCCTTGAAGGGACCTGAGCCCTAAGCCCCCTAAACCCTAAACCCTAAACCCTAAACCCTAAACCCTTAACCCTTAACCCTTAACCCTTAACCCTTAACCCTTAACCCTTAACCCTCAACCCTCAACCCTCAACCCTAAACCCTAACCCTCATTTTTCAGAAACCTCCCCCGAAGAGAGGGCAGAAGATGCTGAGGCTGGGTGCGGTGCAGGGCTTGGGGCATCTGGCAGGGACCCCGGGATGAGTCCGTCTGAGACGGTGCAGCTTCATCGGGTCTAGGGGTTTAGGGGTTTAGGGGTTTAGGGGTTTAGGGGTTTAGGGGTTTAGGGGTTTAGGGGTTTAGGGGTTTAGGGGTTTAGGGGTTTAGGGGTTTAGGGGTTTAGGGGTTTAGGGGTTTAGGGGTTTAGGGGTTTAGGGTTAGATTATGGGGCATATGGAAAATTGTTTTTTTGGGGTGGGGGTATTGTCTATTCAAATCTGGCATGCAAGGAGACAATGGTAGTAGTAACTTAGGCTATAGGCCGATGCTTCACCGGCTTAAGCTGGTAGCCGGTTTAGGGCTTAGGCTTGGGTTTAGGGAGTCTCCTTCGGAGTTAAGTTTCAGCTTCTCTAGTCTTAGGAACTATGTGGACTGTTTATCCGTAGGATTTACGGCTATTGTGCATGCAAGCCTGCGGGATCCCAAAAGGGATGCGGCTTCCCATCAGCTAACACGTGCGATGCATGCGTTTGTTGTGGTTCGAAGGAGAGTGCAGGGCCTCTCCTCGAATACCCATACCTACTTGTAGCGGGGAGAGTCCATGCTCTTGTCATGGGGTTAAGGTTTAGGGTTTAAAGCGAGCTAGACAGGCGCGTGCCTCAGATAGGGATTCCGCCCCGTCCGGTGACTTTCATGCCGCCCGGCCTGAGGCGCGGACAGCCACCTGACATAATCTAGGGGCCTGAATAATTAGAACAGGGTTTTGGGGGAGTTAGAAGAGTTTTCTTGGTATAAAGGGATCACAAGGGATTACCATCCGTACTTATTCCGACCCCTAGAGGTAGACTAACTGCACGCCCTGAGTAAGGTTGGAGTGGCGATGATCCCGCTCATCATGGAGATTCACATGCATGAGATCATGGTGTTCGAGAGTTCCCAGCTCAGCTCCCTGAGTGTACAGGCCAAGCGCAGACCCTGCAGCCACGAAGCCAATCGGAACGGAACCCCAAACCCTGAAACCTGAACCTGAAACCTGAACCCTGCCCCTAAACCCTGAACCCTGAACCCTGAACCCTAAACCCTAAACCCTAAACCCTAAACCCTGCGTGCTGTCACCGTGAGGTTTTGTTTTGCCGCTCGTCGCCTTCCTCCTCGTTGGTGCAAGTGCCCTCCGCCTCAGAGCGCCGGGCCGCTTGAAGATCCTGTTGCGCGGTGCCCGAGGTTTAGGGTTTAGGGTTAAGTTAGGCCCCAGGCCCTAAACCCTAAACCCTAAACCCTAAACCCAAACCCTAAACCCTAAACCCTAAACCCTAAACCCTAAACCCTAAACCCTAAACCCTAAACCCTAAACCCTAAACCCTAAACCCTAAACCCTAAACCCTACGTCCAGTTAGGGTCTTCGAGATGGCTCCTGTCGCGCTGAGGCGCAGCTTACCTGGGGAGTCCGCGGACGCCTCAGCCTCCCAGAGATCCCAAACACCCGGAGTTAAGCGGTTTAGGGTTTAGGGTTTAGGGTTAGGGTTTAGGGTTTAGGGTTTAGGGTTTAGGGTTTAGGGTTTAGGGTTTAGGGTTTAGGGTGAAACCAGAGCCCTAAATCCCGAAACCCTGTTGAAATGCAAGCTGCATTCCTCAATTAAGGGGTGTCGGAGCCTCCATTTTCCCAGCTGCGTTCAACTTCGCCGCGCCTAAACCCTAAACCCGAACCCTAAACCCTAAACCCTAAACCCTAAACCCGAAACCCTAAACCCTAAACCCTAAACCCTAAACCCTGAACCCTGAACCCTGAACCCTACACTTCCCAAATACGCTAAACCCTAAACCCTACAAACCCTAAACCCTAAATCCACTGCGAGGCTTCCAACTCGACGAGACTGCAAGTACCTTAGCCGCGCTGAGGCCCTGCAGGGCTTGGGTTTGGGACGGTTTGTAGGGTTTTTTCGTGTAGGGTTTAGGGTTTAGGGTTTAGGGTTTAGGGTTTAGGGTTTAGGGTTTAGGGTTTAGGGTTTAGGGTTTAGGGTTTAGAGTGTAGGGTTTTGGGTTTACGGTGTAGGGTTTAGGGTTTAGGGTTTAGGGTTTAGGGATGTTTGGGTATACCCCAAGACCCTAAGACCATGCAGCTCTACCATGCTTATTGGGTATATTCGTCGTTTCTTCAGCTTGCAGTCGGGTTTAGGGTTTATAGGGTTTATAGGGTTTATAGGGTTTATAGGGTTTATAGGGTTTATAGGGTTTATAGGGTTTATAGGGTTTATAGGGTTTATAGGGTTTATAGGGTTTATAGGGTTTATGGGGTTTATGGGGTTTATAGGGTTCCCTGGAAGGCGGCTGCAGCAGGTGAACCGGAAGCACCGGGGCCAGGACGGGGCTCGATTCTGGGCGGCGGCTGAAACCTCAAACAAGCTACCATGGACTTGTTTACTATACGATATCTTGTTACTATATGTAATTATTCATACTGGTAGAAGCATGTTAAAAATAATATTTCGGAAGTCATGATATGACACGTAGAAGAAATCTGGTCTTGTTATGGCTATGTTTCCTGGACAGCATCCCAGCCTTCGATTCTTCGGCAACTGGCACGGAGCTGCAATGAGCAACGAGTGGCACTTGCCTGTTGGCACATGGCCCGGCACAGGACAGTGACAACCGAAAAGGTCCCACCGGCTTTTTTGAGTGCGCAAGAGTCAGGGAAGGGTCATACGCCCCACAAGACTTTGGGCACAACTTGGGGACCCCGACCGACTTCCCCACCCCGGACCCTTTGCACGAACTTCGCATGTCAGGCCCACTTGTGGTGAACCACTACGAGGAGACCATTCACCAGGCGTGCCTTTGGTGGTTAGGGTTCATTGTTTAGGGTTTAGGGTTTAGGGTTAGGGTTTGGGGTTTAGGGTTTAGGGTTTGGGTGTTTTTTTTGTGCATCTCTCCATGGAGATCCAGTGAGGGCGGGGCATCTGAATGTGATGTTGGGAATCCCGTCGGAGTTGATAGCTACTATCTGCCTCAGAGCCCCAAAAGAAAAACAGTAGTCCCTACATTACCCTTATAAAGGAAGAACATTTTTCATATTTGGGGGGTTCTTGAGCAACTAGTAGATAAGCCAGAGTCTGCGTCCTGGTGCTCCAGGTGGAAGCAGTGATGGACGCGCTGAGCAAAAGGCCCAAGTTGTCCAAGGAGGCGGCGCGTGTATGAAGTAGGGTATATATGTCTTGTACCCCCAAAAGGACACCCGGTATATACACTCACCAATATTCAAAAGGAACCTTTTATGCACTCACCAAAAACAGAAATACGAACCCTGCTTCATATTGTACGGAGGGCATTCCCAGCAGTTTTCACGACACGAGCCAAACCCCTCGCCAGCGGACAGAAAGTGTCTGCAGGTAGTGGGCGAGTTCTGGGAGGCGTTGCACAGCATCAAGGCCTCCGGCAGCCGTGGACGCACAAACTCGGTAGTTGGTGGGGGTGCCTACCCTAAGCCGAATCCCTAAGCCTCAACCCTTAAACCCCAAGCCCTGGACCCTAAATTTGAACCACCCTATTGCGTCAGCATGAGCCATTGGAATCCCCCCCCCCTCTCTTGCCCCTGAAATTCCGCATAGGGTTTAGGGTTTGGGGTTTCGGGTTTCGGGCACCCTAAACCCTAAACCCTAAACCCTAAACCCTAAACCCTAAACCCTAAACCCTAAACCCTAAACCCTAAACCCTAACCCCTAAACCCTAAACCCTAAACCCTAAACCCTGAACCCTGAACCCTGAACCCTGAACCCTGAACCCCGAACCCCGAACCCCGAACCCTCAACCAGTCCGCGCCGGCAGGGAACACTGACGTCAGGGAAGCTTTTCAAGACCGAAGTGATGGAGCCGCCGGGCGCCCCGCATGCTCTCCTGGAAGGGTACGCGTCATGCAAGGTAGGGTTCAGGGTTTAGGGTCTAGGGTTTAGGGTTTAGGGTTTAGGGCTTGGGGTTTAGGGTTTGGGGTTTATGGGTTCAGGGTTTGGGGGCCCTGAATCTTGCGACCCAAATCCCAGAACCTCAAGACAACTCCTGTTCTAATGACTCCTGTAAACGGACCTGAAGCGAAATCCTCAGTCCCCACAACCCTCTAAATCCCCCAAATCCCCCTAGATCCCCTAAATCCGCACATACAACCCTGAACGCTTCTCCCCAAACCCTAAACCCGAACATCCTGAACCCAAAGCCCTAAACCCGAAACCCGAAAACCCAAACCCCAAAAAGAGAGAGCCTAGGCTGATCCCGCCGAGCCCCGGGTCCTGCCCCGTGATGGTGACCCTGAGCTCGGGGGCTCAGGGGGCGCTTCGCTGGTTTGGGGTGTGGGGTTTAGGGTTTAGGGTTGTTTAGGGTTTAGGGTTTAGGGTTTAGGGTTTAGGGTTTAGGGTTTAGGGTTTAAGGTTAGGGGTTTAGGAGTTTGAGGGTTTGAGGGTTTTGAGTTAAAGGCTAAAGGGTTCCCGGATTTGAGGGTTTCAGGGGTTTGAGGGTTTGAGGGTTACGAGGTTTTGAAGGGTTTTAGAGGGGCTTAAGGGTTTGAGGGTTTGAGGGTTTGAGGGCTTGTGGGTCTTGAGGGCTTGGAGGGTTTAGGGGGTGTAGCAGTTTAGGGGCTTTCGGGGCTTTTGCAAGTTTAGGGGCGCTTTAGAGGCTTGAGGGTGTTTAGGGCCTGTGGGGCCAAATTTTCTGGCGCTTAGGGCCGCTTTAGGGCCTCGCGGGTTTGATTTGGGGTGATCTCGGGGAAAGCCCTCCCCACGCCACGCAGCTCCCAAGCCTCAACTCCCACTGTAAGCCCTAAAATCCCCAAAACTCCAAACCCCCTAAACGCCTAAGCCCCTAAAACCCCTAAGGCCCTAAAGCCTCCCAAGAGCCTTTGAAAGGAAGCAGAGCCCGGCCACTCTTACCGTGTCTTCTCTGCCTCAACTCTTTTGCAACTCTTGGGTAGCCTAAATCCCTAAACCCTAAACTCTGCACCTTAGGTTAAGGGTGTAGGGTTTACCTAACCCTACTTGAAGGTCCCTGGGTCCTTCTAAGTGGGTAAGAGGTGCCCTAAACAAGCTAAAGCTAGAGCCAGTTAAACATTATTATACAACTACCCTATGTGCTCGTACCCGCCCATGAACGTCCAAGTAAGCCCTAGACCTTAGATCCCTAGACCTTCGATCCCGAGACCCTAGACCCTAAACCCCAAACCCTAACCCTAAACCCCAACCCCCAAACCCTAGACCCTAAACCCCAAAGCCTAACCCTAAACCCCAACCCCCAAACCCTAAACCCTGGACCCTAAACCCTAAACCCCAAACCCTAAACCCCAAACCCTAAACCCTAAACCCGAAACCCGAAACCCCAAACCCTAAACCCCTGTGACACGCCCCTGAATCGGAGGTGATAGCTCTTTGCGGGAGCAGCTGAGGCGCGCCACAGTTGAGGGAAGCCAAGGCTTCTACACCCTAAACCCTAAACCCTAAACCCTAAACCCTAAACCCTAAACCCTAAACCCTAAACCCCAAACCCCAAACCCTAAACCCTAAACCCTGTCGGGCTTGGTAGGGTTTACGCTGCTTCGCGCGCGCGCGCTGGCCCATGCTGAGG